ATGTTCACCCGGGGAATTGCTGAGTTGCGAGCGTTAGTTGAAGGAGCAGCACCAGCCACACGGAGACATGGCCAATTCGTTCTGACAACAGCTCCTGCTCCTCCTTCACCTGCTATATAGAGTGTTCTCTGCTCAACCCTCTGGCATTCCTGGCTTTGTGTCCAATTCAATTTGCATGCACTCATGAATAATGCAGCCAGCCAAACATCCAAATAATTCTAATGGACTTTGCCTGAAATATTTATAAAAGAAAACATCAATGAAAACGAAAGAACGCAATGCAAGGTACAGGGTTGTATGAAAGGATCAAAAGTGGAAGACAATTTGTGATTAAACTCCTTAAAAGATAGTATTATAAAGGTGGTTATTAAGAGGTTTTTAAATCCTTTTTAAAACAGTGTAACTCTTATTTTAATAATTTACATGGCTCTATATCCCAAATAGACTTTCTTCTTGCCCAAAACCTGCTCCAAATAACAAAGAACTTAATCAAGCGAAGAGTTTAAATTACCAAGAAACCACAAATATCGGGGAATTTATGTAAATATTAGCTGGCTCGATTCTTAAAACAAGAAGAAAGAAGGAGTCCTGCTCCTGTCAACTGTGGCCTGTCGTCCTTAATGTCTTGGCAAACACAAGTATCCAAAAATGGGCGGAATGCTTGTGGCTAGCCAGGAAATTGGCCAAACTCTGACCTGAGAGCGACGTCGTGCGTCCTGCCTCCTGGTTACTGCGTCCTGCGTATTAAAAATAATATGCAAAGTGCGGGGACCTGTTGAGATTTTCACAATTCCCAGAACAAATAACATATTCACATATTGTTGTGAAATACCGCCCACCCTGGGCTCCCTTCCGGCTGTATGTCTGACTCCTGTTGGTCCTTCCCTCGCTCTCTATGTGGTTTTTTCGGTTGGCTGTTGGGTTCTTCCTTTGTTCGTGGGTATGCTTATGATTTATCATCGCCGAGGCCAAAGTTATATCTTCAAGATTAAAACAAGGAGCGTTGCTTTCCACTGACATGCCACCATGGCCATCCCTTATTCCCGTTCATTTACCTAATGTGACAACTTTAATTTGGCTTTCTTTAAGTGGCTTTCATATTTAACATTTTGATAAGGATGTGGATTCAGGATATAGGATGAGAAGCTAAACTCGAATTGGCAGAAACTTTTCCGCTGGAAATTCAACGGCTGTAGTTTTTGGCCAATTCAAACAGAAAGTTTCCCCCGCAGAGGTCTAATCCCATTTGGCTTGTATGTGTGCTCAGTGAAGTTTCTTGCAATGGCATAGTTAGTTGTGTGTCCTGGGCTCTGCAACTAAATAAATTAGCCAAAGGCCCTGGCAGACTTACAACATGCCAGGGAACTTGCCACTTCCCGGAGACCACCGCAGCCACACATTATTAATAATATTTATGATTGAGTGACTGGCCAAGGGATGGGCTAATACAGTCTATTTCAAGGAGGATGCTCTTGCCAAGACGGATGAGGAAGCCAAAGTGTAAATTAAAGATTTCGGCCAGGTTTGAATATTTAATGCTAATGAACAAGTTGAAGGCCAGGCTAGAGTTCAATTAAGAGGTTATGATCTGGGTTTAAAAAGGATAAGATTGGATTTCAAGGAAGAGTTTTTAGTGGGGTTATAGTTGGTCAAGTTTTCAATAGGAATTTAAATTCTTTTTTACTATTTAAAATAAGGAATTCAGGGATTTTATCCATAATACATATCAATAAAGTTACTATAGTTTATTTAATTTAAAAATTCTTGAATTCTCGGGAGATTCCCCAAAAGTTAATAAATTGAAACGGGTTTAAGGTTCCCCTGACTTTAAGGCTTCCTCCTTTTCCCGGAAAGATATCTGTGCGTAGTTCACCTCCATATGCATGTTGGCACATCCATTAATCCCTTCCTGAAACACACACACAATGAAAAAAAGTGACAAAAGGGGGGATGGAAACGGAACTGGAGGACAGGAGGTACCTGAACCCGAATGCAAGTCACTGGGGAACCAAGGAATTTATGGTATAAAAAATGGATTTGCGATGTTTTCGCTGTGCAAATTAAATTTATTGCCGCGGATACTTATCCGTGAGAGTGTGTGGGCCCATTGTTCGAGTGTACCTTCCCAGGTACATGTGTGTGTGTGTGTGCCTGGATACACCCGTGGATCCACCCACAAATTTATTCGCGGCTTTTCCGTGGCGTTTCCCATTTAACAGATGGAAATGGAAAATTATGAAGCGACGTGCCCGGAACTGCAAAATTCCTACAGCTACTGTTGCTTTTTTTTCGGAGGCCCGTGCCCACATAATAAATGTACTTCCCGGCTAAGTGAGCCAAAATAAAAAACGACACAAACGCAAGCAGGAATAAAAATTGAAAATTAAAAAAGCAGGGAGGCAGTTGCACGCTTTTTGGCGTTCCTCTTCCCCCTCTGTGTTTTGTTGCACTCGCCTGACAATGAGACAGGTCCTCCGCCCCATCGGACGAGAGCTCCTGCCACCAGCAGGACCTCCCTCCACCGAAACAGGACCTCCTCCCACCTCCAACCACCGCAGACTAAACGGAATAAGCGTTAATGCTTCGTTTGAATGAATTTTTGATTGCGTTGTTTACGATTGAATTTACTTCCTGCCAGGGAATTATTTTTTTTTTTTTGCTACGCTTTGTTTTGTTTGCTTGTGTTCTTCAGTCCTCGTCCTTTTTTTTTGCATATTTTTTTTCTTTCAGGGAGTGAGCATAAATTTTGCGTAACTTCAACTCCCGCGGAATTCGCAAATCCGTGCTAAATTTTTTATGTACGCAATGTTTGTTGGAGTTGTGTCTTTGTTATTGAAGTTAACTCTTGTTTACAGCTTACCAGATTCTCCAAGGAGAGTTTTCCCGCTTTCCCCCAGCCAGATCGGCAGAGATAATGCAAATGGCAATGGAAAAGTGTCTGTTTTTGGGAGGGCGTGGAAAATCTCCTTAAACACTTCTTTTCACATTCAATAAGCATTAAGGTGGGAGTCAGGGAAATGCGATTAAATAAGCGATAATTTCTGATATGAATAAGTAAATGAAATGGCATTGAGAAGCATTAGAAATTGTTTAGGGAAATGTTAGAAAATACACTTTTTCTTGTAGTAAAAATATCTATAATATTTTATTTATTTATAATATCTATATAATATATCTGTAAGATTTTATTTATATGAATAATTAAATATTATTTTATGTCCTGTTTGAACTTTCTTTATCTCTTTGTATTTTAATTCCTTTTTTAAAAAATAAGGAAGTTAGCTTCGAAAAACTGAATATTTTATAACCTTGAAGTTCAAAAATTGATTAGGAAAATTTGTGATAACTAAGCCAAAAAGGGCCTAATTCTCATTCGGAAAGCATTTCTGTGCTAGTTTTTTCTAGGTTTACAAATCTGCATCCTAAATATAAAATTTTAAGAGATCATCATTTTTTTCAATTTTTGAAAATTTTAATGATGTAACAACCCCTTATCACATTTTGAAAAAAATCAATAATTTTTTTTTTTCTTTCCAGAATGGCTAGAAAGATTTGCCTATTGATGCAGATCATGAATATATATGATTTATAGGGTCGGAAATGATTGCTTCACTAAATAAAATCATAATAACTTTCAAAAGACCAGAAATATTGAAATTCTTTAAATGGTTATTTATTCAAATTTTCTTTTTTATTATTAATAATTTAATGCACAAAACTAAGTTTTTTTCTTCAGCTACCCTGCAAGGCCTTAAATATATACAGTTTCTTTTTGTAAAACCTTAAAATGACCTCAGTAACTCCCAACGCCCACTCCTTTAGAAGTTCTCAATTTCAGGAGGTTCGGTTGATGATGGCAAATCAACGATATAATCTCGTTATGGCACTCCTCCTCCTCCTCCTACAGACCACATCCTCCACGTATTTATCAGCCTATTGCTCAAACGTAACGGGAAACCAATTAATCTCTATCAATGCCCCGGACTTTGCAGGCTCAAGCTCAAGGATCAAGTGACAAGACATCGACTGGCTTAACGGACGAGAAGCGAAGTGGACAGGCCAGGATGACTTGGGGGGTAGATGTTGGTAGATGCCACCGAGTTGGAGACGGGGACTGACATCTACGACTCCCTGGAGTGCAATCGGAAATGGACGCCAATGAAACAAATGCAGGCACGTAAAAAAGTCGAGGACCAAAGGTTGCTTAACCTCTCGTTCACCTCTCAATGCCAGTTTCCTTCTCTCCTTTCTCTACTTGAAACTTCCAATTGTGCAACGCGTGGTATGAGTAATGAGAGAAACGGCAGCCAAAAAGGGAAAACCATTTTCCGGTTCAATCAGTTTTGATTTAAATTGCAATTATTAACTTCAGTTTGGCAAATCATTTGTTCGAAGGGTAAATTGGGTTTCTCATTAGCTGGGAAATGGATTGAGAGGAGTGTTTATATAAATCCTTGAAAAAGGAAGAGAGTTGCTAGTAGGTTCAATTTCAATATACATATTTAAAGAACAAATATTGCTATCCAGCTAGAAATTATGTGCATTTATTGTTTCCTTTAATAAATATAAATGATATAGAAATAGCAGCGCTAAAAAAGTGCTTAAAGAAATACAATATTTTTACAACAAATAACAAAAACTCTTCGGGTCTTACATTAGCAACTTTATCTTTATCTTTATTTATACTTACCTAACCCCAGCTGATAATTTGTCTAAAAATAAACCTACAATTTTAGATAGCTCACAATATACTGACCTCTGTTTATCCTTCTGAGAAAAAAATAGTTATCTACATTTGGGATTAACTGAATCATCGCCGTTTTTTTTAAGAAAACTTTCCCAGACAGTAGCTGATCGCTTTCAGCTTCCGTAATCATAAAATACTTTTATCTAACTGACGCCAAGCCAAGCCATGCCCAACCCAAGTGATCTACTTCAAATGACTTTTGGGGGGTTTCGGATTTTAAGTACATATTATACAGAGAACACTGGTCAGTAAATCATTTTTAGGTTTTCTTTTATTTGACTAAAAGCACACACATACAATCTCGGGGAAATGAATCCCATGTTAACGTAAACAACTCACTTAAGTCTAGAGGTTGGAGATGCTAAACCCGCCCAATCCGTAGGGTAATTATTTACAGAGAACGGCGCGATAGGCGTTATCAGAGGACGTACGCCGAAGGTGCCATAACTAACACGGAATTATGCCAATAAAGGAGAGTGACGCAGCCCCCAGTCTTGTTACTTTTCATCATTGCCCTCAGATTTTGTTTTGGTCTCTGTTTCGACCACGTTGTGATCCGTTTCCTGATCGTGGTCAGCCTTCAGAGGCTTCTTCTCCTCCTCATCTTCCTTTTGCAGAGCCAGAGTTTGCAGTTCCTTGAGACCAGGATCGGGCAGCGGATGGCAGCCACTGTTCCAAGGCTGCAGCGTGGATTCTGAGAAGAGTACGTAGAGGATGCCGCTGCCCGTCAACATGGCAGAACTTAGCAGGAAGACCTGCTTCCAGGCTTCAATCGTTTGCTATAATAATGAAAAGTAACTTAATTTATGTTTGTTTTTTAACTAATTTGTAAACTCACATTTCCCTGGGTTAGATAACCCACTATTAGGGGCGAAATAAAGCCCGGCATTCCTCCAATCATTCCACTCACTCCCAAGACAATGCCCGCATAGTTGGGTGACAAATCCACCATGGAAGCCAAGGGCCCCGAGGACACAGCACCATGGAACATGGTGGCCAAGGTGACCAACAGAATGGCAGCTGTGGCATTGTAACCAAAGTAAGCCAATGCCAGGACTATAATACCCTTGACGCCGCAACCTGGAAGTAAGATTATTATTACTATATCTCTCTGAAATATCAAGGATCCCCAGAAACTCACAAACAAAAGTGGCCAGCTTGCGCACATTGGTACGACTCAGACGATCAGTTCTTAGCAGATAATCGGCAAACATGGAGAAGACATAGGCAAACAGCATCCTCATGAGATGCGGCAAGCCGGACAAGAAGCCCGTCTATAAGAAAATAATAACTTTTACTCCAAATCCAAATAAGATAATCAACCCCCACTTACGGCTCTCATATTCCAGTGATGGATCAGGCGGAAGTAGGTCGGCGCATGGGTCATCAGGGTGAACAGGCCCCAGATGCCGCCCCACTGAGCCACCACATTCAGCCAGACGGGACGAGATGTGGCTATAGCTCGCCAGGGTGTGGGTCCTGGCTTTGTAGTCTGAACGGAGGCGCCCAGGGATTTCTCTATGTACCTTCTCTCTGAGTCGGCAATGCGCGGATGTTGGGCGGGACTGTCAAAGACGAGGAACTGCCAGGCGATAAACCAAAGGGTACCCACAATGCCACAGATGTAGTACACCCATTCCCAGCTAGTCCAGTCGATTATGAAGCCAAAAATGGGATAAAACAGGGCCACACCCACGGAACTGCCCAAATAGGCGCTCACGAACTTGCTGCGCTCGTTGGGGGGTATCCATTTCGCAGTGAGCACGTGCATCGATGGCCAGGCCAGGCCCTAAAGAGAGAGAGATTCAAAATATAATCATTAATCCCAGCCAAAAGTATGGTACCCACCGTTATCCAGCCCTGGAACACTCGAATGGCTATCAAGCCGGTGTAGCTCCAATAGGAAATCAAAGGAATAACGAAGCAGCAGAAGACACCGATGCCATTGGCCCAACCAAAGACCAACTTGGTGCCGTATTTGGTGGCCAGAATGCCGCCAGGAATCTGCAGCGTCCAGTGGGCCCAAAAGAAGGATCCCAGGAGGGCAGCCTGCTGTTTTTCATCCCAGTGGAAGCCCTCCCTCTCATACGGAATCTACCGGCGATATATATGGGGTAAACATTACTCATACGCCCCGTTGTTGCATCACTTAGTGGCTTCATTAAGCACTTAACCAGAGATGAATCAGTGATCCCATGCTACTCACATTCGCCCAGTTCAAAAACCAACGCTCCAGCGAGAATCCCTTATGCAATTCCTCCACCGGAAGGGCAGAGGAGTTTCCTTCCAGCGTAGCGTTTGCCAAAAGGGAGGGAACCACCTTCTTGGCCACCATGTCCACAATGGTGATGTTCAGATTGATCCGGATCATGTAGTTGACAATAAAGCCCATGAATGTCATGTACCACAGCACGGTGCGCGCCTCGACTGAAAGAGATCGAGAGGAGAGACGAAACCACTTGAAAAGCAAAGCCACAGCTTGTGGTTAAGTTTTGCGTTTGGAGAGATCTTGAGCCAGATCTTGGATCTTCGATGAACTTGAGCGAAGTGAGACAGGTACCTGCAGCCATGGTGAATGGTTGTGCTTAGTGCGCGCGGGACTCCAATTGAAGTTGGTTGGCGAAACCGGGATCCTGGGTCTGGCCTGGACTCTCCAACGATCAACTGCTGCGGACCGCTGCCGGAATAGAATGCCAGCCCCAGACGGCTCCCAGTCGATCCAATCCGATCCGCCAGTATCTCTGCGCCTCTGCCCCCGTATCCAAGTCGCACGCAACTGATAAGCCCCACAGATCTGGCGGATTATGCTGCAGCTCGGCTCGTGATCATCATCAACCTGCATGCGAAGGCAGACGATAGACGACAGACGACGACGAGTTTGCCCGATCGGCCCCGCTCAGATAAAGTTCGCATTTAGGCAGATCGGATCAGTCAGCTGTTCGTTCGGCTATCTTTATGATATGGCGTGCTCCCGCCTCGGGTTCAGTTGTCGCGTAACGAGAGCTGGAGACAAGATATACCAGGAGACAGTTTAATGGTCCACCGCTCTCGGGGATTTACAGCCCTGCTAAAGTCCAAGCAAACGAAGATTTCTTTTGGGCCTGGCGAGAGGAGAAGCCATAAAGTTTGGCAAATAAATAGAATGTGGATATGAGAGTTCTTTTGTCTGGTTTAAAGACCTTAAAGAGTTTTTCAAGAAATGAAACAAACATCACTTAAAGATATATGTTACTATATTTCTGTTTACACCGATAAATTCACGCCTTGCGACCTATTGAGAACTTGAGTCACAGTTTAGCTGTGCTTGTATTGCCACCGGAACATTTACATGAGGATCATGGCTAGATCACTTACCACCAGGCTGTCATAATTCCACAGACATTACTTTGGAGACTGAAATATTCCATATATCATATACATCTCGTTAGAATTACAAACAGCCTCGCAGCAAGAGATCAATGCAGACTTAGGTATAGGCTAGCATAGGGTATGGGCTACGACTACGATAAGGTTAACAGGGATGCGAGTCTGCCGTCGTGGGGGACACCGTCGCAGGGCGTGGTGCTCCACAAGTGGCTTCCCACAGACGGCTCAGCACTCATCCGACATTCTCGTAGGACATGGCCGGACGCTCGCTGGCGCTCGAGCCGAAAATTGTGGGCGGGTGATGTTGCTGTGCCTGCTGCTGCTGGTGGGGATGTTGCTGCTGCTGCTGTTGCTGGTGGGGATTATGAGGATGCTGGTGCTGCTGCGTGGGTGGCTGTTCGTTGCGCATCTGGCCCAGCGGAAACATGATGTTGTGTGTCATCTGCGGGTGGTGTAGATGCTGCTCATTGGGCGGTGGCGGCGGCGGTTGCTGGTGGGCAGCGTGGTGCGCCTGAGCAGCCTCCACATGCTTACGCTGCTCGCTCTGCTGCTGCTGCTGTTGCTGCTGCTGGTGAGCCTTCTCAACGGCGCTCTCCTCGTACTTCTTCTGCAGCTGAAAGAGCGGCAATTGCTGGGAGGCGTGCAGGGGCACGGCCACGGCAGCAGCCACTCGCTCCACTTGGGACTGCGGCGAAGGTTCGCGATCTCCCTTCTCGTACTTCTTCTGCAACTGGTACATGCTGTGCGAGAGGTGGGCAGCCACCGAGCTGCTGCTACTGCTGCTGGAGCTCTGCTTCGAGGAGGTGGACGTGGATGAGGCCGTGGACTTCTCCGCCTTGACGGGTGACTTCTTCTGGTACTTTTTCAGTATCTGCATTAGTTCGGACTTTACATCCAGGCGTATCTCCTCGGGCACCCGCTTGATTTCCTCGTACAGGGACAGTAGGAACAGCTTGTCCGGATCTCGATTTTTGCGCTTCTTGCTCTTCTTGGGAAAGGCGTCCTGCATGAACTGCAGCAGCTTCTCCTCGAAGGGCGATTCCCTGGGCACCGATCCACTGCCGTGCTGTCGCCTTAATAGGTGCGGATGCAGACTCCCGTGAAAAGCTGGATGCTGCGGAATCGAGTGCAACTGCCCGCTGCCGCCTCCATGCTCACCTCCTCCACCGCCGCCACCGCCATTATGCGTTTGAAGCTGCGGCACGGGTTGTCCTTGATAGGAGCCACCATTGGAGGAACCAGGTGCATCGTTTGTCTCTCCATCGTTGGTGTGATGATCCTGCTGCTGCGGCTGTCCAGCGTGACTCTGTGAGTCCTTCTGATGCTGCAGGTGCTGCTGATGGTTACCCACGGCTGACGTTAGAATGACATCACAGATATGCTCAGGCGCATAGTCGAATCCGGACATGAAGTTCTCCGGCTTTAGTTCGCCGTTCATCTCCTCGTAGAAATACTCGGTGCCCACGATGTCGATGATGTCGTTGTCCTCCTGGTTGAGCTCAATTCCCGGCGGAGGCGATCCCCCAGAGAGTTGGCAGCGCTTTAGCTCCGCCAATTTCTTCCTGGTGGTCAGACGCATGTCGCGCCAGCACTGCAGGAATTCGATTTGTATAGAAATGGTAGCTGGCACTGGATGGCACTAACTCACCTTTTTCCACTGGATAATGGTCTTTTTGGGTCCGATGGTGTTCAGGGCCGCCTGGATCTTCTCCCAGTACCACTCCTTCTCCTTCTTGCCCTCCATGTACTTGGTTTCCCGCAACAAGGTGATGAGCATCTTCTTCTGCGGCTTTGTCACTCGATCCTGCCACAAATAAAACCAAAACACTAGGACTTAATATGGGAAATAGAAAAAGGGAGCAAGAAATCCCCAACGGGAACATTTCTATAAATGAGTATCCGTAATTCTGGACTGGAAAACACTCAATTGTTGCTATTGTTTATCCAAATGCCAGCGGTGTCTACAACTTTTCGCTGCTCCCCACACACGCACACACACACGCACACGCCCGCGCGGATGCACATGCATACACATGACCAGAGAATCGAACGATTCCCCCGATTCAAGACATTTCCAATTACCATTGTGAGCTTCTGGAGGAATCTGCGTGTGCTCGAAATCTTGATGTTTTGCTTTTCGCCCGCCTTCGTTAATTGCAGTTGGTCGATTTATTATTTAATTCGAGTTTTTTTTCACTTCTCAAACATTGTGTTGCTGCCTGTTCTGCTTCTTCTTCTTCGTCTTCTTGTTGCGTGCGTGTGTGTGTGCGCGTTCGGCGGTCTCACCAGCGTTCCGTCTCTTTTTGGCACGTGCGATGCACAGTCAGTCAGTCGCTTCGTCTCTGTCGGTCCGTCAGTTTGACGTTTGCGGCCCGTAGTTACCCGGTTGGAATCAGCTGATGCGCGGAAAAACCGTTACTTCATTTGAGTTACGGTAAATTGCAAATATTTTATTAAAAAGGATTTTATTTAATAAATAAAAACCACAAACATATTCTTAAGGTTTTTATACATAAGAACAGATTTATACGTTTTGTGTTAATACTAATATTCAAAACATAAATACGGTATTAGTTGAAAAATCGAACATTTTTTCATGGAACTTGGAATCCAAAAGAGATTTTAATCAACGCCGATTGGTGGTGGCTGCCTGACGACTGACCTGCCTGGTAATGGTGGACACACCCTCCTCAAACAGCGTGCGAAACAGGACGTTGGCATGGTTGAAGAGGCCATCCTTGAGGGAGACAATCAAGAACTGGGAACTGGTAAAGTGCTGCTTCAGCATGCTGCCGATATTCTGCGTGTGCGACATGTCCAGCGCGGCGTCCACCTCGTCCAGGATGTACAAAGGAGCCGGCGAGAACTTGAGCATGGCCAGAACCAGTGAGAGGGCAACCAGTGACTTCTGGCCACCCGACAGCTCACCCAAACTCTCCTTCCACTTGCCATTGAAGCCCACTTTAATCTCTAGACCGGTGAGACAGCCCTTGGTCATGACAGGATTGAGTTTCGCATCGGCGCCCGGCAGAAGGGAACTGAAGATGCCGCTAAAGTTCTTGTTTACCTCGTCAGCAGCTCGGTTCAGCTGGGCCTGCTCCTCTTCATCCATTTTGACAATAATCTGCTTGATCTTCTCCTTGTCCATGGCCACGATGGTGCGCCGGCGCTCTGTCTCCTTAAAGTTCTCCTCCTCGCGGTCCAGCACCATGATGGCGTTCATGTTGAGGTTGCGCTCCATCTTGGATTTGCTCTCCATCAATTTGGTCAGCTTGTGGCCCGCCTCGACAGGATCCTGACGCTTGTAATCGTAGCGGGTATTCGTCATGCCAAAGAAGTTCTTCTCCTCGGGTATCCAGGGATACTTGACCTCCAGTTCCTCCATCTGGTTCTTGGCATGCTGAGCTGCCGAGCTGATCTTTTTCTTTTCGTTCTCCTTCTTCTTGACCTCCAGCTCGATATCCTGGTTCTGCTTCAGCATTCTGTCCTTCTTGACCAAAAGGTTGTGCATCTCCTTGTTCTGGGCATTAAGTTTGTCCTTTTGATCCTTGATGGCCCGCTCCAGCTCCGTTACCTCGGAGGCGGCACTGGAACTATTCGCCTTTAGGGCAACCAGCTCGGCCTTGAACTTCTCCAGGTTGTCCATCATCTCCTGGTGCTGCTGCTTGGCCGTCTCAATGGTCTTCTTCAGCTCTGTGATCTCCAGTTGCAGCGTTTCGTATTCCTGCTCGCGCTTTTTCCAGTTGGCCCGCGACTTTTCCGCCCGTTGCTTGGAAGCCTTCACCTCGTTGGTGGCTGCCTTGAGTTCGCGTTCCCGATAGCCTTTGGCATCTGACAGCTTGGCCTCGATGTCCTTGATCTTGGCTTGAGAGCTCTTTTGCTTCTCACGCGCATCCACGGCTTGCTGCTCGAGAGTCTTGACCCTCTCCCGCATTTCCTCGATTTCGGCTTGGTTCTGCTGGAAGGTGGTCTGGGCCAACCTATTCTGGCACATGGTAAGCTCGTGCTGGCGCAGCTCCAGGTTCTCCTTCATCTTGTTGAACGAGTGGGCCACGTTCTCAATGGATCTGGAAAAAGTTCGGATTTAGATTTAGATTCAAGAAAGTGGTTTTTAAACCTACGCCATTTGCTGTTCCACGGCCGCTATCTCAGAATCGATCTGTCGGTATTCCTTTTCCACTTTTCTGATGGAGTACAGCTCCTCCAAAACGTTGGCACCCTTGGGTGGAGCACCGCCGGATACCGTGCCATGGGGATCCACCACATCACCCTCCAAGGTCACCGAACGACACATGATGCGCGGATCGTAGCTGATCTTTAAAATAATACAAAATAATAAGTTAAAATCTTGCAGAAGTGTTACCCTTTTAGAGACCACTTACCTCCTTGGCTATATCCAGATCCCTGCATATGAGGGTTGACCCAAAGATGTACTTAATCACGGGCTCGTAGTAACGGTCATAGTTGACCAGCGACATGGCCCACTGCACGTTCTCAGCGCCCACCTTGTTCTGGGCATACTCTACGACCTGTCTCTGGAGAGAACCCGATTGGATCTTGTTGATGGGTATGAAGGTGACGCGTCGCTGCAGCTGTCCTCTTTGGAGAATCTTTTTACAGGTCACATCATCGTCCGTCACATAGCTGTATAACTGAAAGAGGAATCTACGTGAAAATACAATCCCTAGGAAATTCAAGTGCCAACTTACGCTTCCGCCTGCTGTTGTCACCAAAGCCATGGAGTTCTGCATGTCGTTCACCTGGAACAACTTGCCCACCATACCGCGCACTTTGCGCCTATCAAAATTTGGCTCTGGGTCCTGGTACTGCAGGTCATATCGAGAGGCATTCGAGCGGTCCAACTCTCGCTTGAGCTCACGCTTGCGGTTGTGCAGCTCGTTTCTGCGCTCTCGGAGCTGCTCGAACTGGCCGCTCTCGTAGTTGATGCCCTGCAGCTGGCGCTCCAAGTTCTTTATTTCCGCCACCAACTGATCGTGAAGGCCCTTGTCCTTTGTGTATGCTGCATCGTTGGTCTGCGTCTCACCTTCGCGCTGCTTCAACACGCCGCGCGTGTGACGTAGCTCCATCTCCGAGGTTTTTATAGTGGTCTGCGCCTCGCTGAACTGCTCCTTGGCCGCTGAAAACAGGAAGAAATGAGTCTGAATGTAGATAGAGATCGCCCAGTGACTCACCTATGAGCTGATCCTGCAGTGTGGTAGCCTGGCCATCTTCATTGGTAGACAGACCCTGGGACACCGCCTCCAGCTTCCGTTGAGCATCCTCGTAGGCCTTGGAGTCCGTGGCATCTGCTTCCTTGAGGCTCTCAAACTCGCCCTGAACCTTGGCCATGTCCTCCTCCTTTTTGGCTAGCGCCCGCGTATCATCTTCTATATTCTTAGCGGCCATTTTGATCTTTTTCTCATCCTGCTGGATGGTTCCTTGGGCCGCCTTCAAGCTGCCCGATGCGGTGGCCTCTGTGGCTCGCTTGGCCTTTAGCTGTGTCTCCAGCTCGTTGAGGGAGCCACCCATCTCGTCGTCAATCTGCTTCTGCATGACCTGTACGGTGTTGTCGATCTCCTCGACTTCCTCTATGTTCTTGGCATGCGTGGCCTGATCCTTTTTAATGCGCTCCTCGATTTTCTGCTCATTGGCTTCCACAGACTTCAAGATCTCGCTTTGCTTGCGATATTTGGCCGAGATGTGAATCCTGACGAGAAAGTCAATGTCGCGGCAGAGCTTCTGGTACTCCTGATAGGCGGCGCGCTCCTGACGAAGTTTCACCAGCTTGGGCAGCACCTCCTCATCCAGCAGCACCTTTGTCTCCCTCACCCTGGTCTCCTTCTTTTCTATAAGGGTCTTGGTGGCGTCTCGCTTCGATTTATACTGACTGGTGCCCGCTGCCTCCTCCACCATGGACAGAACCTTAAGCGGAAGGCATGGATTAATTGAATCGATCAGATCTCTTAGCACCTACCTCCTTGGGCTTCATGTTAAGCACTTGCTGGATCTTGCCCTGCATGATGAGAAAGTTGGGATTGTTCACGTTCAGCTGAATGGAGCAAAAGAAGTCATGGACCTTCTTGTTCTGCACCAGTTTGCCATTGATCAGGAACTTGTTCTTGCCGCCGACGGCCACCTGCCGGGTGACCGAGATTTCGCGGCACTTCTCGTAGCCCTGCGGACACTGGGCGGCATTGGTGTTGTCGAAAACAATGGTCACGGTGGCCTTGGTGATGCCCGCCTGCCCATTCTTGTACACCAAGTCTTGCAAGGCAGAAGCGCGCACCTAGCATGGAGGGAATACTATAGAAATATCCTTAAACATCACCGGGAACACTTACATTCTGCAGATTGCTGATGCCGAGCACGAAGCAGATGCTATCCAAGATGTTTGATTTTCCCGAGCCGTTTAATCCCGTGATGGCCGTGAACTCCGGATCGAAGCCCTCGATTTCCGTGCGCCGGCCGTAGGACTTGAAGCCGTCGAGCACGAGCCTCTTCACATACATTTCCGGAAAAATAAATTGCAATCCGTAGCGTCCTTTGCCAAAAAGTCCGCGTCAAACAGTGTTGCCAGATGACTTGGCTTTCCTCCTAAAAAATACCTAAAGCGCAGGAAAAATACTAGACACAGGGCAATTTTAATCGATAGACGATACACACAGTCGAGTGACAATGGAGCCAGCGGTTTTTGAAATAATTTTCTTTGGAAATTAAACGATTTTAATTAGTATTTTTTTAAAACCTCAGTTTTGAGTACACATATCAGTTAAAAGTATTTTAAGGGGTTCTTCAATATCGTCGACTTATTAAAGCTTCGCTCTCAGAGCCTCATAGCACTTGCTCCTGTACCTCCTGTACATGCTGCGCCAGAAGTCCATCCGCTCGCCATCCGGATTGACGCACATATTCAGCTCCCGGTCGATGAGCAGGCAGTCCAGCTGGAAGGGCTTGCCAGGGTGCGGTTTCTGCACCGGCAGCCAGCTGTCTGAGGGCTTTCCATTACGCGCAAAGTTCGCCCACATCTTGCACAACCGCTCGGTGACCAGCAGGTCATCCTCCCTCATCTCGGTCTCGTCTCCGGCCATCTGGAAGATGTAGCAAATATCGTCGGCATGGGCAACGCCCCGCAAATCCTCGTTCTGAAAGATTTTCTTGTACATATTACGGCCGCCCACGTAATCTAGGCGATAAAAATACAGGGGAGCCTGCGTCTGGCAGCTGGCATGGATCTCTGCCGCGTGTTGGAGGTCCATGTTAAAGTGGTAGTCGGTAAACAGGTCCACCAGGTTGTCCAAATTATCCTTGGTTATGGCCTGACCATTGAAGAAGAAGGCCCGCAGGTCGGAGGCAGCTTCCTGGGCCTCTGGGGCCTGAGGATCCAGCACCAGATTCTTTGGCACCATCCTGGCCAGATCATCTCCGTAGGCCTCCAGTTTCTGTTTGGCCTTCACCACCATGGCCAGTCCCTCGGCTGAGTTGTAGCCCATAATGGTGGGCATGCCACCCAGAGTCTCCTTTTGGTGCATCAGATCGAGAATGTTTTGGTCCAAGAAGCTGTCCGGACTGCTGCTGTCCTCGATAACTGGCTTGAAGGCGAAGGGCAGGTGACGCCGCCGCTCGTCGGCCGTTAGAACCTTCATGGTGTTGGACAAAATGCCGATGGGACTGGCCTTCTCCGACCTTAAGAATTTCAGGAGCGCCTTAGTGTCTCCACCAAAGTCTCCGCCGCCAAGAAGCTCCGCCAGCTTGCGGGTTTTAAATGCCGGATCGTACTGGAACACCCACTCCATGTTGCCTGTACCGCTCTGCATGATGGCCTTGTGGAACAAGCGGTTGGCGTGCCGGGCATATGTGTGCAAATGCACTGACGCCCCTCCAGCACTCTCGCCGAACAGGGTCACGTTATTGGGATCACCATTGAAGCTGGCTATGTTCTCCTGAACCCACTGCAGGGCCAGGCGCTGATCCTTGAGCCCCATGTTGCCATGGATCCCCTCCTCGGGCAGGCTGAGAAATCCCAGGGCTCCCAGTCGGTAATTCAGGGTGACCACAATGACGTCCTGTTCCAAGAGCTTGCCGGGAAAGTGGCTAAAAGGGAGGCACAAGATTAGATTAGATCTTAGATAATAAGGCATGACACTCACAAATCACTGTTGCCGTTGCCAAAGAAGAAGCCGCCGCCATGTATCCACACCATTACGGGTAGTGGAGTGCCCGGGTTCTTGATCTTGGGAGCGTAGACATTGAGGAACAGGCAGTTCTCGGAACCGGCCACCTCCAAAGTGAAGGGATCACGCTGATGGGACACATCCCGCTCCTTGCTGCAGTCCAGTTCGGGCTCCTCGAAGCGCTTCAGGGGAAGGGGACTCTGAATTGGAATTACATATAAAAGTTACTTTAGGGAATAGTGGAATTTGAGAACTGCTTACCAGGAAACGAAGCTCTCCCACTGGTGGCTCTGCATAGGGAACACCGAGGAAGCTGTTGTACTCCAGCCCGCTGGCCAGCTTCTTCTGTTGGCCCACCACAACACCTTGCTTCACTGGCACTTTCACCTGGCAAATCATTAAATTATTATTATTATTTCCTTTAAGACGTTAAATTTACCTTCATGCTGCTGTAGAGTCTCGTAAAAATTGATCTGGCTGGCGGGCGGAGCATGGCGAAATTAGTTGTCCGCTCGCAGAGATTCCAAACAATCTAATCTCGCCGCAATTATTCGGCAATACAAATAACAAAACCTGATTCCCCCTGAACTTTGCTCGTCTGAAACAGCTGACTGGACCTTAACCCTTAGATGGTGCTGGGGGGTGTCTTTTTCTGGCATTAAATATTAATTTATTTTATAATAAAATATTAAGAAACGTTGGCTTATACATTCTTAAATACAAATATTACTTTAATTTATTATTTTATTTAGAAAAAAAAAGTAATATACAATGTTTATTTAATGATAACAAAAAACAAGAAAAGAAACTGACTTATAAAATTTTGTACATAACTTTTTCTAGGCTTGAAAAATGTATATTTATAAAGAATAAAAAAGAGATATACCATGTTTATTACTCTACTTTAAATATAAAAAAATATAAACCAAAAATCTCCCCCCCCCATTGACAACACCTTCGATTTCACACATTTAAAGATACATTTAAAATGATTCTAAGTTTTATTTGACTAGTTCCATTGCATAAACATTAATACAAGTTGTTCATTTATGGGTTGTGTGTTCCATTTCGAGTTTTTCCTCTTGTATTTCAAAGATGAGAGCTCTCGATCCCGTGAACTTTGGCCCACGTCCGAAGGTCGGAGCTGGCCGCTTGGGTTATGGGGAAATTGGTGTTTTAGTCAGATGGATCCCCCCCTGGTTGGGGGGTGGTCCAACTTGAAAAAGGTTTGAGCTTTCCCCGCCGCCAAGCCGGATGGGGGCCAACTCACCGAGGGGCGTGGCCGCACGGCTCCGAAAAGTGGGGGGTAGGACATAAGCAAAGACTTTGTATTAACAAGATGCATTACCCAGCTTGTTATTAGAAGGTCTTTGGCATAAGGTAAGGTATGGTAAGGTTTATAATAATTGTTAATTAACTTTAGTTTAAGCATAGTTCACACCAAAAGTCGGAAACATTTACACTTATGTACACGTTACATGCACACACTTAGCACACACATACATCCAACACTTATTAACATTTATATGTATATATATATATAGAATATGCGGTAATAGTAATATTTAGCAAACATTGAGAGCATCTCTCGTCGAATTGGGGTTCGTTCGTTCGAAGAATGTCATCCTATGTAAGGTGTTTCGAGACTCTTTTAGCCATGGTTACTTGTCGGGGTTGCTTTCATTAAAATAAGGTTCACAAAAATTGGTAAATTGGTGTTTGTTCTTGCATCTCTCTAATGTCATCATCGCCTAAAATCGTCTCAAGGCCAAAGTGCGTTTCAGGTAGAGGCAGATGGAGCGATGGATCAGCTCGTACTGCTCCGAATTCTGAACCATTCCACCCCTCTGAAGGCGCAGATTGCACACAATTCCCAGCACGTCCACAAAAATGTCCGGCATCTTGGGTAGCCTATCGAAGGATGGTGGTGTCTCAGCTTCTTCCTGATGACCCAGAATGTGCCTTATGTGCCGTATGGTGTTGCAGGTGAAGCTGCTGTCACTGTCCGACGGGAATTGGAACTCCTCTGCCTTGCTGCTGGTCAGTGACTTGGTGAGCATTCCCGTCAGGGAGTAGGCCAGCGATTGTCGCAACTGACGCACTGCATTCAGGATGGCCGTGAAGCAACCAGTGCGTCCTATCCCAGCCGAGCAATGGATCACGGGCAGCGGTTGCACCGCATTAAAGATATCCTGCTGGTAGATCTCCAACCGCTGAGCTGCCAGGTGGGCATTCCTCACGCTCCGGCTCTCATCATAGTTGTCAAACTCCGACTCGCACTTGCCCAGATTGAGGACATGCAGGCAGGTGTCCAGCAGCGTGTTGATGTCCCGCGGCGAATGGTGGTCCGGCCAGTCCGGATACCAGTAGTGGTAGCAACAGATCTTCTGCAGGTGAAAGCTTGCACTCTGCGGCACGCGGATGCAGTAGAGCAGGACGAGCTTCCTCACCGAATAACCATTCCGGCGCACAATGCCCACGTTCTTGACCAGAAAGAAGCTGGTCTGGGCGGGCAGGGCCTCCAGCAGATCAGCTTCCAGCGTCACCTTCACCGACTCCACGCCAATGTGCCGGCCACCAAGCTCGTTATCATCATCATTACCATCCGTCGGCACCACTGTGTCCGGCACAAAGGTGGGCGTCAAATGCCGATCGAAATACTCCCGTGCCGCCGCACTCAGTTGGAACACCTCGCACTTGGCGGCCACCGCGAATATTTCGTTTAGCTCGATGGGAAAATAGACTGCACACTTCTGACGATTCGCCTCCGTGAAGTTGGTGAGCATGACGATCTTCTGGAAGTACTGCTGCAGGACCTGAGCCCGGTCCATGTGCGGACTGCTGCTGCTCCCGCCATCCACGCAGCGACGGATGTAGCGCTGTGTGTTCTGGTAAATCATCAGCCAGAACTCGAAGATTGTGTTGGGCAGGGGCCCCTGGGTGGCCACATAGCACTTGGACACGTAGTCGGGTCCCTGAAAGATTGATTAATCCGGGAATCGTCTCAATAAATCCGTAATTAAAGAAAGTATGCTTACCTTTATGTAATTGGCATTGATGTAGGGCACGTCCTCGGAGGAGCCTGTCCTCTTGACCTCCTCCTGCAGGCCCATCAGCTCGCTGGACTCCATTTCGAGCAGCACGCGGGAATGCTCGTTGGGCAGGATCGTCTTGTAGCGATTCTTTGTCTGAGAACCAAAAACCATGGGCTTCTCCTGGTGATTGAGCGGCAGATCCCAAAACTCCTTGTGAAGGTCCCGAAAGATGCGCTTTTGCTCCGCTTCCTCCAGTTGGGGCAGCGATTGCACAATCCTCTTGACCACCGCCTGATAGCATGCCAGCAGTTCACTGTCCTCCGAGCTTGGAGCCACCAAATCAGTGGGCGTATCCAGATCCCGTCCATTGGCACCCAGTATCGGCGGCTGCTCGATGATGCTCCTGTTGGTCTGGTAGCTGTGATCGAAGACGTAGTTCAACCGGATCAAATCGAACTGGTTGAGCGGATTGGAGGCGCTCTGCAGCATCTGGATGCTGGCCAGGTAGATCTTGAACTCCTCGCTGGTAGTCTGCGGCGACAGGGGTCGCGTCATGATGTTGCGCACGGTTCCGGCGCAGGTGCAAGAGGCCTGATCCCCGCCTGCCGACTCCTGCTGGGGATTGGGCTGCAGGTCCGAGGCGGAGCCATAGCTTACCTGACCGAAGAACTGCTGGCTGACAGCCTTGCTGCTGTTAAGGTTCTCCGTGCTGAAGAACTTACGCTGATGCGGCGCCTGGTTGGCGGCCGCACAGCTGCACACCGTGACCTTTGGTTGCCCCACATCCTGGATTTGGATCTCTGTGCTCGCTCCACCGCCCAGTATGCTGCCCATGTTGAGGGTGAGACTCTGATTGGAGCCGCGTCGTTCCAGCAATCCCCTCTTTGGAGTGGGCACATTCGATCCCGATCCCGAGCCTGAACCCGTAGAGTTTGTGCGCATGCCCAGCCTATTGTACTTCTCAGCCGTCAGCATCGCCTGCTGCTGCTGCTGCTGCATGGAGTTGAGGTCCCCGCACGAAGTGGTCGTGTGGCCTGTCTTCAAGGTAATGCTGTGATTGGATCCTCGCCTCCGGAACAAACCCTGCCGGCTGCCCTGGTTGCTGGTTGCCAGCAAGTGCGTCTGCTGGCTCTGATCCGATCTTATGGGGTTGGCCGTGCCCGCATCCAGATTGCAACTGGACTTGGAGTTGAGTATGGAGCCCAGGCTGTAGTTGGACAGGCTCAGGCCGCTGTTCATCAGGTTGCCGCACGAGCTGTGCAGATTGAGCGTCAGGCTGTGATTAGATCCTCGCCGCTGCAGCAGATTCATCGACGATGTGGTCACGGCGGCCTTGCTCTGCAGCGTGGGCATCGGCAGATCCATGGACTTTTGCTTGAAGGGAGACTCCCTTGGACCGCCGCCGCAGCCGCTAGAGGAGGAGGAGAACTCCACCAGGGTGAGGCATTCGGGCAAGGTCTTCAAATTCGTGCTGGACGAATGCAACAGCTGATTGTGCTTGTGGGCGCTCCTCGGCGCCAGACTGGCCCCCAATCCAAACTTGGTGCTGCTATCCACGCTGCAGGCGGACTTTAGCTCCGTATCACCCAAGCTGGGTGTGAGGCTGGCCTCCGAATCCAGGGAACTCTGGGCCGTGGTGCTGCAGTGCGGCGTTGGCACCTGATATGGGTTCTGCTTGCGGTGGTACATCAGCCAGTCGGAGGTGTTAATGCCGGGCGACTTCCTACGCGGCGTGCGCCTCTGGTTGGCCAGGCTCAAGTGGCTATCGAGCCGCGAGAGCGAGGTCGAGTGAATGGTGGAAGCGGGCTGCTGGAGATGATGATGGTGGTGGATAACGCCTACAGATGGTTTTAACTGCCCATGGCCACCCGTTTCCATGTCATCGCAACTACCATGAGATTCGGTTATGTTGTGCACGACAATCGACAGCTCCGACTCATTGGCCGCCGAGTCCAGAGACCGGGCCTTCTCCTTGGTGCTCTTGATGGTCGGCGTCTTGGGCTTGGGCAGCGGCGAGGCCTGGCTCGAGTTCCTGATAGGTACGTCCGTGATGCGAATGGTGAGATTGTTCTTATTCTTGCGATTCTTGCGGCCCTCGGACTTCTGCTGCTGCTGCTCCAAAGGCGGATCCGCGACCGCCGGACTCCTGTCCCGACGCGGAGCCTCCTCGAAGGCGGTGGTATCTATGTGCGCCTCCGGTACCACATGATCGATTTCCGGGAAGCGAAAGAAATTCCCGTTCTTGTAGCCAGCCGAGTTAATGATGTTTAGGGGTGAGCCGGACACGTTGAGATTGTTGATGGAGGAGAGCAGTTTCGGGGAATAGCTCAGGCGACTAGCCTCCAGGCCCGGCGTCGTCGACGCTTCATCTTTAAAGATTATGGTGGGAGAGTTGTGTTCGCTCTTCGACAAATACAGGGTGTTCTCCAGGTCCTGGTCGTCGCCGGCGCCTCCGCCCTTGGGCATGGTGTTCTCCTTGTCGGTGCCACGTCCGCCACTGCCGCGTTCCTCAGCAGCGGAGCTGCTGATATGGGGCGAGCAGGATCGACGGTCGTACAGCGAGAACCGCTTGAACTTGCGGCTCAGAGTGGGGGACTGCGAGCTGGCCGGGTGTGGATGGGAGTGCTGGTGGACTAGGGGCAGGTGCGGACTGGCGACAGTGAATTGCTTGGGGGTGTAAGCCCGGGCCGAGTCCTCCTCCTCCGCAGACGACTCGGGTATACCCAGAATACCACCGCCGCCATCGCCCGTGGGCGAGGGAAACTCAAAGGAGGTCTGCAGGAACTCGAGGGGAGTGAAGTAGGGCGTGCTCTTGTTGCTCTCCGCATCCTCGCAGCCCTCCAGCGGAGTGGAGGCGCCTGCAGAGCCAGTGTGATGGCCGGGGGGTGGTGGCTGCGGGTAGGGGTACTCAATGGGTGCATTCTCCTTGTTGTTGTTTCGTAGCTTGTCCATGATACACACACAAATGCAGGAGCGGGCCGCACGCGGCGCGGTCGCTCTGCCCGTTTAGTGTTTTAGCCTCACTCAATCGGCATTATCTCGCCCGCACAGATAGCACTTCCGTTTTGGCCACAACTAGATCGCCAGCAGGAGAAAACCAGCGTTTTCACAACACAACATTTTCTTTAGCTTTGCTCAGTGTTGCCAGATGAAAAAGTTGGCTTTCACCCTAAAAAATCTCAAAAGATGAAAATTCGATAGCTGAATTCGATATATTTGATATATTTCTAAAATTTGATGTTTTCCATCTCTAACGTCTATCGGACTAGTATTTTTGATACTACCGCAAATGGGACAGGTTGGCAGCTCTAGGTAATGTTTTTAAAAACTCTATATTAACTATATTTCTTAAGCTACAAATAAAAAAACAGTAAATAAATGGAAATGAAATTCTGATCTATCCCCTTTTTACATCAAATAATATTTTGAAATAGCAACCACTGCCAGACATCTCCGAAATCATTCAAGTCTGTCTACTACTATCTCAGCCTGTGGTTTCGTTTGATTTGCCTAACTTTTTCAAAAAATCTTTCAACTTTTCATATATGTACATAAGCTAAAATGTTTTGTGTTGCAATTTTACAGCGTAGACTGTGCCAAGTGCACTGGTGAGTAGCATTTGCCAACCGGTAACTAGTAAATCCCAAAATAATTATCCACAAAGGCGCTTCAAGATGCCCAAGATGTCCTATTCTGAGGAGAAGAAAGCTCCAGCTCTTTTCTTTTGGGGCGGGGGACTTGAGAAGCTGCAAGGCGGTCTGAAGGAAGAGGAATATTTTACTTCGCTCACCCAGAATCTCATGTTTAAGATGGGAACCAAGAAGGACGACGCCGACTACTTGCCCAACTGGGATGTGTTTCAAAAGACACTGGAAACGGCCTCCCTTTTCAGTTCTTCATGCATGAACAAACACAAGAATGCGCTCGAGGAAGCTTTTTTCCTAAACGAGGTGAAATAATTATCACTTTTCTTTAACTAAGTAATCTAACTTTTTGAATTCAGACCGCGGACAACATGAAAATAATACATGATCGTGCCCAAGGAGACCCTGAAGGCATAATCAAGACCATCAACATCATGGAACTGAAATCAGATTCCACTAATTAATTGTTCTGTTTATAACTTTACATCAATTCGTTATCAAGGACGAATTTAACGTAGTAAAATTGTTAGTTTTTGGTTAAATAATCGTTTGGCAAAATACACTTACTGGTTTCTGGTTCAAAATTTAGCTGTACAAAGTCCGTTAATTTTGCAGACAGTTGGCAGGCCGCACAGCAGGGGCGGAGCTAACGGGGGATATGGGGAAAGGTGGCCTCCCCAAGCTATAATATTGGATGAATTTATTCTTAAAGTGAATACATTAACACTCTATAAATCAATTAACAACATTAAATAAGATTTCATTTATTTATTATTAATTTACCATATATTTTTAGGTCATCCCTTTAATTATTTTTAGCCACGCTCATGTCTCTTTTCGAATAGTCTGTTTTTACAAGTCGGCGAAACTCATAGCGACAAATCACCCCTTATATGTATATAGCTTAACTATACTATATAAATCGCAGCTATAAAAGACAAACATGTTTACACTGCGCCGCTTCAGTCAGCGTTTGTATCCAAAGCAAATTCAGTAAGTTTTTCATAAATTGGAGCACAATTGCATAAGTATTCTAGAACTATTCTCAATCGTTGCAATATTGCAGACACCTGAAAATGTCACATGTCGGTGAACTTGGAAGTGGAGCAGGCAAGGGCGGCGGTGGCGGTGGATCCATCCGAGAGGCAGGAGGTTCCTTTGGAAAGATGGAGGCTGCTCGCGAGGAGGAGTTCTTCTACAAGCAGGTTGGTTTTTAAATTTCTATTTTAATTTTGGTAATAATATTAATTTATAATCAGCAAAAGGAGCAGCTGAAGAATCTGAAGACCAAGACAGACACCAAGGCGCCTGAGGCACCCAAGAAGTGAAATGTTTTAAAATGTAGATTCTGCTTCGTAGCACTTGATTCTACAGTCTGATTTGTATTTATTAAAAATTGTTTTTTGAAATAAACTATATGCATTAAGTTCGTTAAAAAGGTTTTTTTATCTTATGAAAATCGAAATTAAAGATTGTTTTAATTTTCTTATTATTTTTACGTCATAACTCCCCATTTTCCATCCCTGATCAGCGGATCGCGACCCCCTGGAAATCTCCACATTATACTCCCCAACACTTTGTTTACGAACCCTGATCACAAAAGAGAATACCAACTGATAAAGCCGGGACAGTGTAAAACTGATAAGAACCCGGGAGACTGGGACCTACAGATGCCCGTACCGGACAAGCGGATGGAGACAGTTCTCACCGGATTGCACGAGTGTTCAGAAGCACAGATGGCGGCCACAATCCAAAACAGCCTGAAAGTGGCGCTAAGGAAGAGCATGAAGGATGCCCTCAAAAGCCTGGATGCAGAGGCCATTGCCCGACAATCCAAGGCGGTCACAGCCAAGGTGAATTCCTAATCGGGGTGAAGGGTTATCAATAATTAAAGTAATTCTATTCAAACAGGTGCTCCAGAGCGAGGTGTTCCGGCAGGCTCAGCGGATTAGCATCTACCTGAGCACCAGCAGCGAACTGGATACCACGGCATTGCTTTGCGAGATGTTTCGCCTGGACAAGATGGTCTTTGTGCCCACGTATGAGGGTTCCAAGATGAAGATGGTGCGTTTGCGGGGGATGGAGGAGTACGAGAATCTGCCGCTGACCAAGTGGAACATCAAGCAGCCGGATTTTAAGGAGGCTCGCGAGGATGCCATGACCAATGGTGGGTAATATCTACTTGGGAGTATTTACTTTTCTTTAAAGAAGAGATCCTATGCTTTAGGCCATGGCATTGATCTCTTCATCATGCCCGGCGTGGCCTTTAGTCGCTGTGGAGCTCGCCTGGGCCATGGCATGGGTTTCTATGACAAGTTCTTGCGCCAGCATGCCGAAAAGTATCCGCACAAGAAGGTCTCCCTGATGGCTTTGGCTCTCAATGAGCAGATTGTTAGCAGCGAGGAGGTGCCCATGGAAACACACGACGTACGTTTGCAGAGTATAATTACTGAAAATTAACTTTTAGCTTATGTACAAAATACAGCAGTAAAAGGAAACTAAAACCTAAAAACTAAAACTAGAAAGTATATCTTCCTAACGCAAGTAGGATGGTCGTGAGCGCAGGCCACGTCCACGGGAACGGCCGCTGTAGTGGGGCGAGGAATAATGCGAATCGCTGCCGCTGAAATGCGACTCCGAGTTGCCGGAGCGGTAGGATCCCGGTGACTCTGCCCAACTGGAGGGCGAACCAATGCGCATTAGCTTCTTTTGCCTAAAGGCAGCCGCTGCCGAAATGCGTGAACCGCGATTGCGTCCCACCCGGGAGCCCCTTAGCATGGAAGGTATCTTGTTGTAGCCCGTGGGTCCGGTGGGCTGGGCGCCACAAGTCTCCAAAGCCAGGAAATCATCAACATGCAGGGATGGCGGTCTCGAAGTGTTGGGTGGACGTGAGCGGAACAGATCGCCTCTGGAGGGAGGAGGACGAGCAAAGCCACGTCCCCTGACCGAAGACACAAACATCTTCTTTTCGGGCCTTCCCGTGGCGGGTTCCACTTCCACGCGTCGGGTGCGGAAACAAGGCGCCGTTGGGGTCATCTCCCGATTGGATTGCGGCGAACCGGACAAATTTAAAGTCCTCTTGGTATCCCCGGCTGTATTCAGGTCCGGATTGAGGCACACATTGGCCAGATCGGTGAGATCGCAGGCAATGCGTTCGTAGAGCGGCTCGTTCATGTCCTCGATCATCTCAATGGGCAGCGGCTCCAGCCAATAGCGCGCCGTGAGTTGTGGATTCTCGGCGGTGGCACAGAATCTTGTAAAGATAGGGCGCGCCTCATACTGGCTGACAATGCCCTCGGCCTGGGGCAGGTAGGGTTCAATGCTTAGCGCCAAGCTTCCAGCATTGGCAGAGAGATTTGCATCTCCACTTCCCTCAGTTTCAGCGGGGGCTTCGGTACTTGCTCCGGCGTTAATCTCCTGCTTGGAGGCCTGCAGCAGGATCAGCTGCTTGAGGTCACAAAGGGCCGCCTCATTGGCCACCGCCTTGTACTTTTCCATTACCTTGAGTATGCGACTCAGAACGGGGGGCTTGGCCAGTTCAATGTCCTGGAATTCCACCAGCTGGGCAAGCTCCACGGCGCCCAATTTGAGAGTGCGATGCGGCATGGCCGTCATGGCGGGCGGTGGTTCTATTTGGGTCAAGGAGCGCAGCAGCAGAATCAGCGACTCGATGTTGGCATTGTACTCCACCGTTTCGTTGTGTAGGATCACGCGCTCCATCCATGCCTGGAACTCGGTTATCTTTTGCTTCAGGAGCTGCGCGAGGTGGTAGAAGGTAAAGCTGTCCAAAAAAAATGATTAAAACCAAGGCAAAGAGTCCAAGAAATATAGACTTACTCGTGTTCAGTGAGTATAACCAGATTGCGAACCGCCAGAATGGAGATGCCATGGGTGACCTCCACGCTGGTCAGGTTACTAAACACAGCATCGATAATCCGGGGTATCAGTTCCTTGGGAGGCAAAGCCGCCGAAAGATTGAGAGCAGGCAAAGCCGTCGATTTGTGCGAGATCAGCGATATGCCCGAGTCCAGGAAGCTGTCCAATATGCGATGCACTGCCTCCTGGCAGTTGGACACAACCTCGTTGAATTCATTCAGCGCCAGCAGGGACTGAAAGAGCTCCCAGAACTTCCCAGACAAGATGGACAGCATGGAGCTCTTTAGCGGAGCAAAGGCACACAGGCGGGTGGAGAATCTCAAAAGGCGTTCCAGATTGGTGGTGGGAATGCAGTTGGAGCTGAGGTATTCGCTGCACAGTAGCTCCGTGATGGTCTTGGCAATGAGAAGAGTCATATTGGGTGCCAGATCCGATAGCTGCATGCACACGCGCTGCAGCATCTCCGACAGCTGGGGGAAGCTGGAAGGAGCCAGAGCCTCCACCAGCTTGGCAATCTGGCCGCTCTGCGGATGCAGGTGGGCAGACCACAGCTTTCGCTCGGTAATCAGGCGCTGCTTGTGCTGCTGCTTCAGCTGGTCGCACAGTGGCTGGGGCATGGGCAGCGGCAGGGGCAGCAGCTCGGCCAGAAGCTTGAGTCCTGAAAGAATATAAAATTAGACAAAAAAGAAGGAAAAAAAGGAAGCTAACTTCGAAAAACCGCAGTTTCAATTTCGATATATCGATCATAATATTTTCACAGACTCTAAAATCTTCTGCTTACCTGGTATAAAGTGGGCGGGTCCGTCAATGTTCTTGAGAACCTCCCGGATCATCAGCGTCCACAGCGACTTGTGCAGCGACTCCTCGTCTTGCTCATTAGGCTGGGTATAGGCCAGCAGTGTCTGGACCACCTCCATCTTGCACTGCTCCACCTCCATGCCAGCCTGGCACCGCGTGGGGAAGTAATATAGCAGATAGTAAACCTTCACTATATGATCGATGGCGGTGAGGTCCTTGTAGGTGCCATCCCGGCACAGAATCGCATAGGTTAGCAGTTCCCTGAGGATCTGCAGCGTGGGCAGCATAATCTGACAGCAGTGCACGCCCTGAATGGTCATTAAGGCCGGGGCATGGGCTCCCGGCTGCTCAAAGTAAGCGCACAACCTTTCCATAATCTGGATGCAGAGCTGGACACCATCCGCCGCGTACAACTGCAAGGCCACAAACCGATGCTTCAGCTCCTCGGTCACGGCAGGCGCCTTCTGGCCCAAGATGGGCTTGCTAATGGCCAGGTAACGCAAGATCCTTAAAGCCATAATCAGATCCCCAGGAAAGGTGGTCAGGTAATCCAGAGAGCGACCAATCACCTCCACCAGGGGCATGATGTCGTCGTAAACAAACACATTAATGGCCTCCAGTGGCTTCATGTACACGTACATCTCCTGCAGAACCGCTGACACAGAGGGCTCGAATGTCTCATGATTCTTGGCCAGCTCCAGGATCACCGCCCCGTGCTCAATGAGGTAATCCAACTGCTCGCAGTAACGCACACAAGCATCTACCATATCCACGGCATAACTCAGCACGGGACTCTTGTACTTCATGCCCGGCGAGCTCAGTTGGCGCTGGGTCTGCAGACGCTGCTCCTTCTTGATGAGGTCCATGAAGATCTTGAGATTGTTGTTCAAACCCAAAACCTCGACGGTGTGTTGGCGTCCGGCGGGATCGCAGGTCTGCGAGTAAATAGCATGCATGTGGGTGGCAATCTTGACGGCATCGTACTCCGGTGCCGCAGCAGCATAGACTATGGCGTCCAGGTGATAGCGGGTCTGCACCTTGTAGGACATCTCAATGCCCAGTCGGGCGAGGCGTGGCAGCACGGGACGAAGTATGGGTCGGGGTCTCAGAGCGGGTGGGGGAGCGGGAGCGGTAGTGGTAGTGGGAGTTGGAGGAGTCCCACCTGCAGGTGCCGCCTCCTCGGCGGCTTCACTCGGTTTCTCTGGATCCTCTCCTTCCACAGGCTCTGCCACCGGCTTTTCCTCCACCTCAGACTTCTCCACCTTGGCCTCCTCCACTTTGGGCTGCCTGGGCACATCCTCCAAACCCAGCAATATGGCCACAATCGCCTGGGTAACATCAAAGGCATCATCCACAAAGTAATCGATGCCCACATGGGATCGCAGCAGGCCGTGCATCAGGTCCAGCAGGCATAGGTAAGTCTTGGCCGGCAGCTCCTTGCAATGGCCCAGCATCAGTAGGAGGCACTCCGCCAAGCTGTGTTGCCCCAGATACGACTGCAAAGCATTCCCGAAGCTGCGCTGCGCCATGGAATCGGTGACCACCTCAAACTTCTTGGAAACGGGAAGAAAGCGACGCGGCTGCTGGTAGCTCAACTGGCTGGTGGTCAAAGCATCCATTAGCATCTCAAAGGTGAACTCCAGCTGCTGGCAAATCTGCAGATGCGTGCCCTTGTCCTCATCCTCCTCCTCTTTCGCTACATTCCGGTCCACAAAGAGGCGACGACACCAGGTCTTGATGCTCTCTAAACCTTCCCACAGATGCAGCTTCTTGATGATGGCCTGAAGGGCGTACTTGGTCCTGGTTAGCTTGGCCGCCTTTAGGGACTCCATTATCACCTGGTAGCCATTGCTCTTGGAGGCCAAAAAATGCTGGATGCCCAGCCGGGAGTCCAGCAGGGCGTAAATGGCTTTTAGGAGTTGCAGCTTAATAGACAGCGCCATGTAGGGTTCGTGGTACAGCCGGAAAACCGCCTCGAAGGGATCAAAGTGATGCTCCTTGAGCAAATGCTGGAAGAGATCCTCGCTGCTGCCCAGAAGTTCGGCCATACGGGCGCCCAGCTTGATGTGACGAATCTTAAAGGCGGGCTGGGGCTGCATGCAGGCTGCCTGGAAGCTCAGGGCTATCTGCAAGACATTCGCCGCCTGGCGGAGATGCAGGTCATCGTTGCCGAAGAACTGCTGCAGGACAAAGTTGCGCCGCTTGTAGTGCTGCGCCAAGTAGGCCAACTGGTTGTTCAGCTGCTCGCCCAAGTACACAAACTGTTCCCTTTCGTCCACACTGGCACCGTGTTCCTCGCCAAAGGCAGCCACATTCTCGCAACGTGTCTGCAAAGCGAGCTTCTTGAAGAGCAGCCGCAGGGTTTCCAGCTCCTTGCTGAAGTGCGCAGACAAATCACCGTCATAGAACTGCAGCGGCTTCTGCCAGGGCTCAAAGGCATCGATGGCAGGTGGAGCCGAGGCCGCTGCCAAGTCCAGTTCCCTTTCGTACTCGGCAATGGCTGCGGCATCCACGCCATCGTCCTCCTCCTCGTCGCCTATGATTTCATCATCGCTGAGAATGGGCTCAAACTGTTCCTGGGGCGTGCAGGAACGCTCCTCATCGTCCCGGTCTCTCTCGCCACGATGCAGCGACTCCGAGGAGTGTCTGTAGTGCGAGGACTGCATCTTGTAGTGCGAGCGCGAATCATCGTCATCGTAGTCCATGGTGTCAGGCGAACGCGGTCTTGTCGGGGAATCTATCGATGCCGGCGGCGTTCTGGGCCACTTGTGCTCATCCACATCGGAGCGGGATCGCTCAGAGCGCTTGCGACGCGACGACCGGTGGCTGGAATAATCCGGAGAACGCGACCAATCCCTGGAGCCCTTGTCGCGTGAACTGAAAAGGGGAAGTCAAAGGTTATTTACATGAATCTAGACCATCCAAACTGCTTGCTTACTGCCTGATGTACTCTCTGTCGTTGCTCTCGGAGTGCGTGTGCGATCTTCTTGGCGGCGGCGGAGGCGATTGATCCGTAGAGTGCGTGGAGCGACGCAGGCGGCGCATTTCCCTCTGCTCCTGCTCCTCGGCCTGCTGCTGCTGCTGGTGGTAGTGTTCCCGCGTCAGAGCGTACTCCATCTCCTCCGGATCGTAGTCACTCACGTTGCCCTTGTGCGCCGTCAAGATCTCCGCCTGCATGGGTTCCTGCCACTCATCCTTCAGCACATCCTCCTGCAGCAGAACCTCACCACTCAGATTGCACATCTCCGCACCGACAGGCTCACAGGGCATCGTTGGACTGGCAATGGGCTCCGTCACCGAATTGGTGAGGATTCCATACACAGCCAAGGTAATGGTGCTGTACCAACCGCGCAGCACCAATCCATCCGTTGGTATCTTCTCCTGCGAGCAGTCCAGGTGGATGCAATCGTTCTGATTGTACCGCAACAGGCCGAGATTCTCGAAAGCCGAGGCACCCGGCATTCCCAAGTCGTTCACAAAGAACTCCAGGTCGAACTTGGAGGGATTAGTGGCCCCTAGGCGAACGCCGCCGGGAAAGTCAGCCTGCACACGGGCTCCAAGGGGGATGATCCGCACCTGTGTGATGAATACCGGCTTGGGAAACTGCACCAAATCCAAGTTGATGTCCTACAAAACGAGAGAATGGATAAGGGAGAAATCCCTGAAGAGCAACGGCGGCAGGGGGGCTTACCGTCACTTCCTCGTGGGAGAAGGTGTCGAAAAACAACAGCTCGGAACCGTCGTCTACCTCGGCCATGTTTAGAGACTAATTAATAATGGTGCTTTAATTAGTTCAGCTGCTTAAAAGTTTTTATTTATTTTCCGAAAATAACCGAGTTGGCGTCAAGTGTGCCGGCAGTGTGACCAGAGGTTACAACTGGCCGGGCAATTGAAATTGGAGCTATAAAACGGCGCTGCCACCCTCCACTATGTACTCGATACTATCGCACTGCTTGAAATGTTATCGGACAACACAAATTCTAGGTATTTTGAGGTGCCCAAGCACGGTCATACTGCATTAAACTTTTGTCGTCATTTGAAGAAAAGTAAGTAAAGCTGCTCCGCAGTTTTCCCGGCATTTAAACCTATAAGCAAAGCAAGTATTCCTGGGATAGCTTACTTATTTGATATACTTTATATATTTTGTGCAAACAACAAACAAAGAGACGGCAATTGTATAGACTGCCTGGGCGTTGGATGGGAGAACTTATTGCGCCTTTGCCTTTTCGAAAGTTGAATGCACCCCGGCACCGGGTTTATTTTTACAGTTACTGCAATTCATTTAGATTATTAATTTTTCTTTAATTTTATGTGCTTATTTTCTTGCAGTTGTGACTACTTAAAAAGCAAAGCAGAATGTTCGTGGTTCGTCGTAGCGCAGCCCGCCTGTACCCCGCTGGAGTCCAGTAAGTTACCTATATATGTATATAAATAAGCTTATATTCAAGCTAACCTGCTAATTTGAGACTTGAAAAAAAGAAGAAAATACTCTTTCCCCAATTACCAAGTGTGTTATGTATGCCACTTTTTCTCCATTGGCGATAAGATAAACAATTTCGATCCGTTCCAAATCGCTTTCGCCAGCCCACAGTACATGTGTGTGTGTGTGGATTCTATGCTGACTTCTTTGTTGCGTAATCACAAACCATGAAAAAATAAGTAGTTTCTACAAGTATTTCTCTCTTTTTCTGCTCTACAGGCTGGCTAAGATGAGCAACAGCCAGGTGGGCGACCTGGGCAGTGGCGCCGGCAAAGGAGGCGGCGGCGGTGGCTCCATTCGCGAGGCTGGTGGTGCCTTCGGCAAGCTGGAGGCTGCCCGCGAGGAGGAGTACTTCTACAAGAAGGTGAGTGATAAGCAAAGATGAACTCCTCTGTCATATACCAGCTTTATTGGTTAGTTTTCAAGTCAAATGCACGGCCTGCCGCTAAGCAGCTCCTGAACACCGCACTTCAGAATGCGAAAGTTTACCTCCTTGTAGTTCAAGCCCGCTCCAAAGGCTTTCTGCAGCCGATTGGACAAAGCCCACATCTCCTCCTTGCCCTCGTGGTTACGCACGATCTTAAGGCCGCTGGTGAACTGCAGTCGCTCCTCGTCTTCCACCAGCATCACCAGATTCTGATGGCTATAGGGTTCGCGTATGTTCCAGGCCAAGATGCTCGAGGGCTTGACCAAACCGCAGAGAAGGAAACCCGTCTCACTCATGGCCGTGCCCACACACTGGCTACCCCGCTTGCCCAGCAGCTGGAACTGTTCCAGGGCGGCGCCAATATCGTTCAGCTTCCAGTTGCTGCCATTGTTGACCACGTCCAGGGGTATGCCCATCTGCCATTCGCTGGACAGTGAGTGGAAGTACAGCATTCGCCGGCCGCCAAGGCCATGAGGGGTGAGAGTGGTGGACACCGTGCCATCCCACAGCTGGAAACTCTCGCCGGCTATGGTGAAGGTGCCAAAGTCGGGATGGGGATATGTGAACTTGTTCTCAATTCGCCACGATTGCTGGGCGGCCACGTCGTACACCACGATGCCGTCACCAATGGAGTCTGCCATGTACACAAAGGTCACGTCGCAGTTCTCGGGATGCAGGTCCACTGTGGGCGTGACAAAGCGGCTCACGCCCTCCTTGTACAGACGCTTCGGCATCTTGTATTGGTGCACGATCTTGCCGTTCTCCAAGTCAATGGCGTACAGCTGTGGCGGGCAGAGCTGAATGAAGTCAATCTCCCCGCTGTCCAGGATCCACATCCTGCCGCACTCGTCTATCTGGGTTCTGTACACAGAGGTCAGGCCATTGCAGTCCGCACCGTGGGTCTTGTGCCACTCGTAGCTGGGATAGGCCTGAAGGAGGGTTCCATTCGGTCTCATCTCGTTGGTCACATAGGCCAGGGAGTAGGGAACGCCCTTGGCAAATCGGGGAATGGTCACAAAGATCGAGGGCGTGGCATCGCCATCTAGAAATTAAATGCCAGTGAAGGGGAGTTCCGGAGAGAGAACAATTCAAAAGAGAGCCTCACGCTTGTAGTACACATCCACATCCACGGGTATGACGCTGCTGGGATCGTACAGACCCTCCCTCAGCGTACGCTCCCTTTCCTGCGGCGTGGGAAACTCCAGCTCCAAGTTAAATGAGCCAAAGATACTCTCCAAGGCCTGCACGGATGCCAGCAGCCAGAGGCAGCAGCCAAGACAGGCTCTCAAGACAGTCTGCATGCTGTAATCCTTTCACTTTCGCACAGACGGCTGCTCCACTTAAAGTCCAAACGGATACTGAGCATGCGCCGCATGCAGCTGGGCCATGTCTTTCTAATCCAGCCCAGGCTAAGCGGGTCAGCTTTTTGTAACTGGTTTCAAATTGCACACACAAAACACACACCCAAAGCGGTAAGTGTGTGCACTGGAATTCTCGTTGAGCTTACTTGGTGGACACCTCGGCGAAAACAAGTCTCCGGCAATAGCTAATTATGCACGCCACCCAATTGGTCCCAAACTCTGGTGATGGTTCATCGCCCCATTAATTGTTATCAATTATCCGCTCCCAATCCAGTTCCAGTTTCCAGACCTTGTTGTTCGATGGTAACTAATAGCCAGCCGCCTGTGCCTCCAAAACGGTTAAGGTCAGTGGCGGAGAGAGGGTCTAATCTGGAGGTTCTCTTCCCAGTGGATGTGTTGCCCAATCATTTGGCGATAACAGTGACCCTGAACTCTGCCCGTTGCCGCAAGAGAGATTCGGAAACGGCAAGTAATTGGGCACGTCGTACAGTAAAGCTTAAAATGATGTAAGAGCTGAAACGTAAACAAGTCGTTTGGAAAAGTGGTTCCTGTTTCCGATTCCAAAACTAAGATTGCTGGCGGGGATTTGTACATGAATTCAAGGGGGGTTTTTTTGGTTGTACATAGAGGTGTTTTTTGAGGGGGAAAAGCATTATTATTAATATTTTAAAGGAAAATAAAGGTCTATATTATATTATCTCCATTTGCAAGCAAGTCTGTTTGTAAACATTTTAAAAGCTGAATTGGAATACTTTTCTTTAGAAAGGTAAATAATATAAGGTTCCTTGCCTTTTTTATCTGGTAACTTTCAAGACCTTTCCTAAGAATTTCTCAAGTCATAAAAAAATATATTTTAAGCAACTGTGCAAGCTTTGCAAATCTTCCAGAGAACCTATCATCTTGCACAAATAACCTTTCGAGATAAAGTAAATCTGAGGCAATCCCCTATTTAACACTTCTCTCCCCCCATAAACACAAGAACTTTGTTTATATTTACAAAGCCTATTGTTTATAGTTTAGTTATAGTTTATAGGTTTAAGTTAGGTAAAAACTAAACGATTGGTTAGGTCATCATCGTTGGCAAAGAAAACACCGCCCTGGACATCGTCCAGCTTGCGACGCAGAATGCGGAAATTCACCTCATCGGATTTCAAAGTGCCAGCGGCAATTTTCTGCAGGGAATAATTATAATATAATAATCTTGGTTTTGAAAACCTGGAAAATATGGTGAAATCCTCAACTCACCTGATACCGGTTGGAGAGCAGCCAAAGTTCCTCCTGTCCGCTGGCATTCCGGACTATTTTCATGCCGCTGACAAACTGCAGCTCATCGGACTTGGCTGGCAGGGTGCCAAAGCTGCGCGAGGCATACGGCGTATTCACATTCCACACAAAAAGCTTGATGGGATTGAAGGTGACACAGTAGACATTGTTCCGGCTATCAATGGCGGAGGCAGCGCACTCGCTCTTTCGCCTGCCCAGCAGAGTAAACTGCTCCGGCACAGCTTCCGGACCATTGGCCCAGTTCTCCTGCCTGTTCAGGGCACTCAGTGGCACAGAGTACTCACTCACACTGGCCAAAGGATGGAAGTATAGATTACGCTTGTCATTGTTCAGGGCAAAGAGTCCGTCCATCAAGATGAAGCTCGTTCCGGCAATGGTGTGTTGTCCATAGTCAGGATCCGGGTACATGAAGCGATTCTCTGCACGCCAGGAAGTCTGAGCTTGGTGATCGTACACCACTAGACCATGATAGCTAACGTCGGCTACATAGATCATGGTGCGACTGCAGCTGCCCCGGGGTGGAGGGTCCTGGACCAGGACATTTGGGGTAATAAAGAGTGAGCCACTGGGTATGTAGGTGCTGTTCGGGAAGCGGTAGCGATGCAGCAGCCTATCGGTGCTCAGATCGAACTGCAGCAGCTGCGGCGGACAGTGCTGGGTGGTGCCAATGACACCTGAATCGATGACCCACATCTGGTTGCACTCAGTGATCTGCAGAAGATTTCATCTTGTAAAAAACTCACTTAGAAAACATCTTAAACTTTCACTTACGGCCACTCGGAAGGCGGAGGTGATCTTGTCGCAGTTCTCGCCGTTGGCATTGTGCCAGGAGTAGCTGGGATATGGCTGCAGCAGTGGTCCATTCCTGGCCTGCGTCTCGGTAACGATGGCCAAAGTGTAGGGAATGCCAGTGACGAACCTTGGTATGGTAGTGAACACCCTAATCTGACCATTCTGCTGATACTGGGCCTGCACATCGATGGGTGTGCCATTCTCTGGGACTAAATTCCCAGCCGCCTGAGCATTCTCACGATCCTGGGCCGTAGGGAAACCAAACTCCAGCTGGCGCCACTGCGTCAAGGTCTCAACGGTGCGCACGGGTCGGGATCCTCCCGTGCCGGGTATGCCGCCATAGCCCTGGACAAGGGCCAGCGAGATGACGACTAGCAATATCCGAAGATGCTCCATTCGGCTGTAGGGTCGGAGAGCAAATGTTCCGGTCCAACTACGAGCGGGTGCTTATCAACTGAGCGCGACTCGGTTGATAACCAAAGAGAGACGAGAGGCTGGCGGCGCTGATTGAAGAGAATGAAGCAAGGTTGAGCTTTGTCTAGCTTTGTTGACTGGCAATTAAGAAGAGTGTTTGCGGGATTAGTATTCCACGATATTGATATTTGGCCAGATGCGGCCTGAAATGCGCAATAATAATATACGGTGACCCCGATCTGCTGCCAGCACTTTCTTCGTCGTCAGAAGCCAACTATCGACTGAAAACAGGCTTTGGGCAGGGCAGGGCAAGGCGGCGAAGATGAGAACGGAAACAGCCGCCTGCCTCTGCTTGTAGGTATAGTAGATGCTGATTCAGGTTCATTGGCAGGTTGCTGCTGCTGCTGGTTTTCCCCCGGTCTTTTTTTTTTACCCCTACTTACAGCCCGTGTTTCGCTGATATGCTGCCGGGTTTTTGGTGGCCAAGACAAGTTCGTGCTAAAAATTGTTAACCAAATATTGTCTCTTGGACGTTGACAAAAGGGCTGATGATGTGTTTGCGGTCTGGAGCGGCTCAAGCTGAAGCCTCTTTATATGGCTGACTGATGGCTAATAATCACCTTCCATTATTGATGAGTTGCTTCAGTGGGGGGCCGGGCTTAGCTAACCCGTAATTAGTTTTTTACGACTCTCACACTTAATTTTTAAAACGTTATTTTTCTCCTTCACGACATTGTGCTTATCGGGACTTTTATTCGTTGCAGCAAAGGGAGCAGCTGGATCGCCTGAAGAACGACCAGATCCACCAAGCTGAGTTCCATCACCAGCAGATCAAGGAGCACGAGGAGGCCATCCAGCGCCACAAGGAGTTCCTCAACAATCTGCACAAGTGAGATGCTGGGCCACCCGGTAGCAGAAGTGTGTTTACTCGAGACATTTACTTAATTGCATTTCACGCTCTATTTGTAATACTTGTTTCCAAGATGTCCCCCCTCGCTCGATTAAAAATAACTCAAAGAAGAAATGTTCATTGTATTCGAAAAATCCCATGAATAAAACAACAATATTTTAAAGGCTTTAATCGAACATAAATCTTGGTTGATGGGTTCGGTTAGCTCGGAAGCACATCGGGTGGCGCGTGCTACAACAGGTTAACAGGTTACCCAGTGTGGATAGACATGCCCAGATGTCGGGATTTGTGGAAATTTGTTATATTCTCCAGCATTCTCATAGCATTAACTTCAAGTTTCACAAATTAATTAAATGTTTATGCACATTTATTACAAACTTCGTCGCTGTAAGGAAATATAAACTTCATTTTTACGAAGCTAATTCACAAATTTCATATGTAAATTTAATTATAATATGAAATTTGTAATTATTTTTTTATATGGTATTTTTTGGTACAAATCAAAGTTTAAAAATGTTATAACTAAGCCAAAAAAGCATCAAATTCAATTCGGAAAGCTTTTCTATGTTAGTTTTTAATCGGCTAATAAATCTGCATACTTGAAAAAATATTAAAATTTTTATACATTTTTGACAATTTTAACGTTGTAACCCCTTATAATATTTTGAAAAAATATCAAAAAAATTTTATTTTCATAACATGTCTATATCGACTTGGCTTTTAATGCTGATCACGAATATATATGATTTATAGGATCGGAAATGATTTCTTCAATGAATTTCGAGCATCTGACTAAAATTATAATACCCTGCAAGGGTATACAAATAAGTTTTAAGTTTTATATATAAAAATTCCCAAAACTAACTTAAGATCTTAAACTCGAAGAAGCTTAATTTTAACAGATAACTTTATTTTAGGATCAAAACTATAAAAATATTTATAGGTAGCGCATCTCCACGGCAGATAAATTCCCCAAACACAAGCCGGGGCTCATAAAAATGCTAAATCATGCCTTAATTAGCAAACTTGTCTAGCTTTCATTCAGTTTTTTTTTTTGTTGCAGCCTGTGTTGTTTACAAGTTTATTATAATGTCAATGCTAAAAAAAGGGGAGTGTATATTTAAAGACTTTCTACATCGTAAAACAGAAGGACTGCTGAATAAACCATCAGTTATTTATAAAATTTGAAATCTTATCAGAAGCATATTTAAATTTAACGGACTTTGCTGTTTCTTTGGGAAATGTGGCGCCACCTACCGATTAACGATAAGCAGTGTGGACTGCTTGACTTGTTGAACTGCTTTTGTTTGATATATCGATATTTTGATTTATTTTTCGCATCTCTAACTTTAATTTATACGGCCACATTGCCCTGCAGACACGTATTTTCAATGTTTTTTAATTAAAAATTAAATTGTTGTTAAACCAGGCACCGCAGGCCAATTAAAATTAGCACAGACAGTGCCTCGTCATGTTCGCCAACCTGAAGAACAAGCTGATCGAGGAGGTGAAGGCGTCGCCGTCCAAATTCCAGCAATTTGCGAATGCTGCACAGGTATTGCAGTTTGTGGGTGGAGGGTGAAAGCAACGAAGAGGGAGGTGTAAAAATGCAAATTAACGAAAACATACGCAAATTCGTAGTATTTGAGTGTATATATGTGTGTGTGGAGCTGGGAAAATGATTGAAATAGGTGCAACTGTGACCCATTTGGGGAGAAACCCCCAGGAAACCAGACAGCTGTCGCAAAAACACACTCATATAATTCGGCAATCTTTCTAGGCCGCCGTGAGCTCATCGTCGAGCACAACGCCAACTTCGGAGACGAACACCAGCAGCAACAATGAGAACTTTTTCAGCATCACGGAGGAAGGTAAGGCATTTCTTTCCCTGCGCGTTTTCCCCGATGACTCAAAGCTGATTTCTTATCGGTCTTTTATCTTGCAGACACGCCTCAGAACTCGCCTTATCGCATACAGAAACTGCCGGCCACCAGTGCATCTTCACTGCGGGGACGCTCCTCCACGCAGTCCCTCAACGGAGTGGGCTTGAGCGGTGGAGCCACGCCCAGGACACGCAAGCTCTCCAACTCGTCCATGGCCAGCGATGTGTCCTTCCGCCTGCCCTCGTACGATGCACCAGCTGTAAGTCCTTAGGATGTTTCAAGAAATCCCTAAATTATAAAGCTGTTTTAACAGGTGTATCACCTCCAATCTGATCTGGACGAGACCAGCAGCGAGTTTGACGACTCGGCTTCTACGGCCCGCCTGGATGTGATCACCAAGGACCAGCTTTATGATGCCTACAAGAAATCCCTGGACCGCTACCACAAATACCGCTGTCGCTACACGGATTTGGCGAAGAAGTACAAGGATTTAGAGCGCGACAGCTCCAAAGCCAGGGTATATCTTTATCTTTATCCACCAGATAAGCTTTGTTTACTTATTTCTTTTTGTTCTTTTTCCAGTCAGTGCTGGTGGAAACCCAGGACAAGGCTTTGCGACGCATCAGCGAGCTAAGGGAACAGTGCACCCTGGAGCAGCAGGCCAAGGCCCATTTGGAGGAGGCCCTACGTATCGAAATGGATGACATGAGCTGCAAAATGCAGGCTTACCAGACCAAGCTCAAGCTGCTGGGCGAAAATCCGGACAACATAGCGGCAGCTCTAGAGCGCAGCGGTCAGTCGCAGGATTCGGAGAAGCTAATTGACCTTGATGAGTCGGCGGGGAAGTCCCCCCCACCACCAGCTAATACGAACGGTGCTCCCACTGAGGATGTGTCCCGCCTGCAGGAATTACTTAAAGACCGGGAAACTCAACTCCAGGAGGTGAAGGAGAAGTACGAAGCCTTGCGCAAGCAGGAGGAAGAAAATGTCCTGCTCCTGGCTCAGACCAAGCAGGCCATACACACGGAGCTGGAGCACAAGGACACCGAGGTAAGCCAGTTGCAAGAGAAGCTGAAACAGCTGGAGTTGCAGCGGGAAACGCACACCAACGAAGCCAAGGAGCAGTTGAAGAAGCTGCAGGCCACCAAACAGGAAGTGGAGGCCAAGCTCATAGCCACCGAGCATTTGCTGAGCACTCTCAAGGGTAACTTTGCAGCCAAAGAGCAACAGGTGGTTACCCTCGAAAAGCAACTCGAAATATTCAAGACAGAAAGCGAGCAGAAGCTGAAAGCTCTCGAAAAGGAGAACCAGGAAAGCGACTCAAGTGAGCAACTGAAGCAGCTCCAGTCAGCCAAGGAAAAGGCTGAAGCGAGTCTCGAATCTCTTCGGAGCCAACAGGCAGACCAGGAGGCACAACTGAAGGCTCTGACAGAAGAGCTGGCTACTCTGAGGAAAGAAAACGAACAAAACTTGGCTAAACTTCAACAAACTAGCAAAGAAAGTGAGTCTCAATCGAAACAGAACCAGGAAAACCAAAGGATACTTCAAGCCGCCAAGGAGGAAACTGAAGCCAAGTTATTAGAAACCGAAGAGCAGCTTAACTCTCTCCGAAAAGAGCACAAAACTCAAACAGAAGAGCTCACCAAACTGCAAGAGAAGCTTTCGGAAAACGAAAAGAATTTGGAGAAATTGCAACAAAACAACCAGGAAAGCGAGTCACAAACCAGCGAAGCCCAGGAGCAGCTAAGGAAACTTCAGGCAGGCAAGGAGGAAGCTGAACATAGCCTCAAAGCCTTGCAAGCAGCTCTCTCAAGCAAAGAAGAACAAGCTGCTTCCTTGGAACAGCAACTGAGTTCCCTCCAAACCGACAGCCAACAGAGCCTGCAGGATTTGCGCTTGCACAACGATCAGTTACTGGAAATTGTCCAGAGGCATCAGCAAAACGACTGGGAAAGCCAACTGCAGGTGGCCAAAGAAGAGCTAAAGCAGCGAGAACAGCGCAGTCTCGAACTCGAAAAGAATCTGGAGATGGAGCGAGAATCCTTGGCTGCCTTGAGCTCCGAGAAGATAGCTTTGGAGGAGCAGCATCGACTTAAGCTGGAGCAGCTAAATCGTGAGTTACAAATCCTGCAGGATCAGCATGCCCATACGGAGAGCGAAACGGTGGCTGCCCTAAAGACTCAGCTGGAGGCACTCAGCCAGGACTTGGCCACCAGTCAGGCGAGTCTTCTGTCCAAGGAAAAGGAACTCAAGGCCAGCGGCAACAAATTGAACAAGATGAAGAAGCAGCATGAGCAGCATCAGTCCAGGTCCAGCGAACAAGCCGCTCGCTTAGAGCTGCTTCAAAAGGACTTGACGGATCGCCAGAATCACTCCCGGCAGGTGGAAAGCGAGAAGGAGGAGCTGCAGGCTCGTGTCACCGGCATATTGGAGGAGATTGCCACCATGCAGAGGCAAATGCAGCAGGTCCAGGATTCTCACAGCGAGCTAGAGCGGGAGAAGCGCAAGCTGGAGTCCCGCATCGAGTCACTGCAGCAGGAACAGGTGGACAGCACGGCCCAGGATGAACGAACCTCCGCCAAACTCGAAGAGATCCAAAGCGATAACACCAAGCTGGCTGAGAGGAATTGCCTCCTAGAAGAGCAGGCCAATTACTTGGAGTCCCAGCTGCAGGACAAGCAGGATGAGATGGGCAAGATTCAGGTGAAGATGCAACAGGTGCTAGATGAGCACTCCAAGCTACAGAATGCCCAGGAGCTGATGGATCACGACCACCGCACGCTCCAAGACAAGTGTGATGCCTACGAGAAGGACAAGCTGCTGACCAAGGACCAACTCGAGGAGCTGCAGCGGATTAAGGCCAACCTTGAGAGGGATCTCGAGGAGCAGCAGCAGACCAAGGCCAACCTGGAGAGAGATCTTGAGGGGCAGCAAGAGGAATTAATGAAACTGAGAGATTGCGAAAGGGAACAGGAGCAACAGCTGCGAGACCAGGAGGAACGTTGCTCCGAGCTAGAAACTAGCAGGTCTAGGATGCAGGACGAAATCAGCAATCTGCAGGAGCTATTGGCCAACACGCAGCTGCAGGCAGAGCAGGGCGACCAGGAGAAGATCCAGGCTGCCAGTGCCTCCTACACGACGCAAATCGAAAACTTGGAAGCTCGCTGGAGTGCGGCCAATGCGGATGTAGAGCGTTTGCACGAAGCCAACGATGCCCTGCAACTGGAAATGGAGCAGCTGAAGACCAGGCACAGCCAGGACAAAGAGGATGTCAAAGAGTCCATAGCGCAGAAGAACCGACAGGTGGTGGAGCTACAAGAGAAGCTGGCCCTCAGGGATCGTGAGCTGACGGAAAAGGTAGATAATACCCAAAAGCTGGCCAAGTTCGAGGAGCTGCAGGTGGAGAACGAGTGTCTGAACAAGCACACCAAGCACTTGGAGCAGGAGCTGGCCGAGGCTGCAGAGGTCAAGGAGAAGCTCAAGTCCCTGCAATGCGAGCTCTATGTCCTGCAAGAGAAGGCCGAGCAGCATGCCGTCCAAGTGTCCGAAAAGGAGACCCAGAGTGCAGCCGCCAAGGCAGAGGCAGTTGAGCTCAAGCGAGCCATTGAAGAGCAGGCCGTGGAGTTGACCCGCCAAAAGGAGCACGCCAGCTTTGTGACCGAGCAGAGCGATGCGGTCCAAAAGGATCTTCTGCAGGCCCAGCACCAGCTTCAGGAGAAACAGACCGAACTGGCCCAGAGCCATGAAGAACTGGCCAGCCTAAAAGCCACCATTGAAGGTCTGAGCTTAGAGGTGACCACACTTAAGGAGCAGGCAGCAGCCACCTTGGACTCCGATGGCCTGCGCAGCCTCAACGAGCGTCTGCAGCGGGAATTGGAGGATCTCAGGCACAAGAGCAACGGTGCGGAGTCCAATATGCAGCAGGAGATCGAAGAGCTGCAGGCCAACAACCAGCAGATGGCTGAGCGCATCAACGAGCTGGAAACCCTGCGAGCTGGCATTCAGGCCCAGCAACTCCTCGCCAGCATGGCGCCCAAAACCCAGCAGCAGGAGGATCCCGCCAAGGCTGAACTGGAGGCCAAGCTCAAGGAGATCATGAGCGAGGTGCAGGATGTCACGAATCGTAATCTGTTTCTAGAGCAAAAATGTGAAAACTTCCTGATCCTCGAGCAGTCCAACGAGCGGCTCAAGCTGCAGAATGCGAAGCTGTCGCGGCAACTGGATGAAACACTGGTGAGTTGAGAAGAGGACTCTTGGTGGGTTGTTGATTCTTAACAGATATCTGTACTTCTTTGATAGGTATCCATGCAGCACAGCGAGAGCGTTCCGGCCAACACGGAGTTCGAGTACTTGCGCAACATCATGTTCCAGGTGAGGAAAAGTGTGCTATCTGCCTAAATTGAACTCACTTAAACTCAACTTAATTGCAGTACCTCACCGGCAACACTAATAACGAGACCCTGGTCAAGGTGATATCGGCGGTGCTCAAGTTCTCGCCACAGCAGGCCCAAGTTGCCCTGGAAAAGGAGCATCAGCGCCGATCGCTGGTAGGATATAAACCCAATTAATAGTTTATCTGAAACTTAACTTGGTTGCATGTCTCCCTTGCAGCTAAACAAACTAATCTAGCATGAACTGATGGCTCTCTACGACGGCGATTGGAACTGGGAGCCCTGCCCCCGCGCATGAAGTCGGAATGAATTGGCCCGAGATATCACAACAAGTACCTTATACCTCCCGCATGGATGAGATTCCGGCTGACCCTATAGACTCGGAGTTGTAAGAGCAGTGTGAACCCCCAGCTAGATCAATGTTATATTTGTACAGTCCCATAGCTTACTATATTTCTCTGTCCAAATTTGTACATTTTGTTTTCCCATGTTTCCGCTTCCTCCAAAATCCATCTAATCCCTCTGCCCGCTTAACCCCAAGTGCAATCGATTTGTGTGTATTTTAGTTTTAAGTTGAAATTTGTAAAAACCCGCGCAGTTGGCATTTAGTTTAATTCAAATTCTATATAATTACATTCATAAATAAATAGTTACAAATTATTTACGAGAGCAGCGCCTACTTTCTGGCACAGATTCCTTTGGTGGCCAGGATGTGGTACTGCTTCCGCCGCTCCGCAAAGCAGCGCAGCATGGCCCGCGTGAGCGGATCCAGTGGATATTTGGGTCTGTAGTTCTGCAGGGCATCGCGTATGGTCTGGAATCCGAAGCGTTGCAGGCGCAGGCAGGCCTGGACAGCTGCCTGCTGGACACCGGGACGTGGCACGGCCACAATCAAGCGCTTGACGAGTCCCACAAGGGCAGAGATATCCGTATCTAAGGGGAGCGGCTTTAGAACCATCGAGATGCACTGCAGCACAGCTACGAGGCGGTCATCGTAGGACTCATCTTGGGCGAGATCACAGTAGCTGGTGGCCAGCGGCATTAGGTGCTCCGTGACAAGATCTACCACTTTGAGATGCGGACTGCGCCGGCAGAAGAGGGCAAAGGCGTAGCCAAGCTGCTCCAGGCTGCGGCCCGCCTTCAGCTTCTCTACGAGGTTCTCCAGCACCTGCTGCTTGCTGGGCTCAAAGGGCTGGTAGTGGTACTCGAAGCGCAGCTTGGAGAGCAGCAATCTTTCGGCACCATCCGGATCCTGCATGTCGTACGTCCGACTCATAAGCAAATGCTTAATCACAGTAATCAAGGGATCCGAGTGATCGTACTGCCGCTCCTCGCGGTGGGGCAGCGCCGTGGGAAACTGGCGGAGGACCGCCAGCACCGTCTCTGGCATATCCTGTTCGTAATGATAGAGCAGCTTGGCCAGCAGCAGTCTCGCCGGATTCGTGTATTCTTGGGTAACCCTGGCCGTGTTAGAAACCGCCTCTAGGTACAGCTTTACATACTTCATGGCCAATTCAGTGGGCGGTCTTTCCTTGGTGTTCCTGAACAGACGCTCCTCCAATTCAGCCAAAAATCTTGGCATGAATTTAAAGTAATTTAGAGCAGAAATCAGACGCTGGAGAGGATTTCCTTCGATGCCCATCTTGGTGATTACCACCACAAGGGCATTCACAATCACAGCCTCATCCTTGGTCAACTTGTACACCTCCAGGGAAAAGTCTTCAAGATCCAAACTCTCTTCTAGGTATTTACCAATGCTAGAGCATAGCTTTTGCTGCGATTTTCCCAGAGTTTTTCTTCGCAATTGGCTGAGCTTTGGCTGGGCTTTGTACTCATCAATTACATGTTCTATAATCGACTTTGGCTGGCCACCGTACTGCAAGCCATTAGGTTGCTCTAGAGGGATTTCGGGAATGGAATCAACGTTGTCATCAAGGGGCTCGGCACAGGGAGAAGCTGGCGACTCTTCGTAGCTTCCAAAACTTTGTTCAGGCTCATCTGGGTTTTTCTTTGACTTTGCAGGATCAGGACTATAGATCCCTTTGGGGGGTTCTGATTTATTTACAGCTGGCTGAAATTTTTCCACAGACTTTGCAGGAGCAGGATCCGTTTTGAGGGGCTCTAATTTACTTAGGGTTTGCTGGAACTGTTTCACAGCCTTTGCGGGAGCAGGATCCCTTCTCAGGGGCTCTGATTTATCTAAAGCTTGCTGCAACTGCCTTCTTATTTGCTCTACAAGCGATATTCGGTTCTCTGTCTGGGACTTCTCTTCTAGCAGCATTTGTTTGGCTCTCTGGCGAGTGAGGCGGCCTTCTCCTGGGGTAGGTGGACTCTTAATCTCGGATAGAGTTCTTTTTCGCTTGGAGGTTACTGTAGAAGGCGAGTCTTTAGACGTTATGCTAGGAGGTAATTCGGCATCAATGACCAGCTTGTCTTCGTCTCCGGAGTCGTCATTGGAGCTCAGGGCGGGACTTGATATTTGCGTGGAAAGCAACTTTTCTTTCTTTTGTAAATCCGAGTTGGAATCCCTGTTCAAACTAGGAATTAATTCTGTTTGGTCAGCATGATTCTCCGCCACAACCAGTGGTAAATCTGTTATATTTGTTTTAAGGGTCTGTTTCTTGTTTAGCTTATTTTCCTTGTATTCTGGCTTGTCGTCCGTTTCATTAAAAGTCTTAATATTTGCGGAATTGTGCTCCTTAGCCAGTGGCTCCTTAAAGCTCTCAGAGGAGGCCTCCATGTCTAGCAACTCTTTCTCTGATTCTTCGGGTGGCAGTTTGGTTTCTTCTTTGGACAACAGCTTTTTGCAGGATTCGGATTTATACTCCGAACTTGCCTCCTTAAGGAGCTTTTGCTTGCTGGATTCGGACTTACCTTGGCTTACATCTTCCTCCGATTCTATTGGATCCGATTCGGTATCTTCTTTGGGGAGCTGTTGTTTACTTGCTTCTTCCTCCGATTCAATAGGACGCCATTTGGTTTCTTGTTTAGGCAACAGCTTTTTGCAGGATTCGGATTCGGATACTTTGTCGTAGAACTCATCTTTCGACGCAATGGGACTCCATTTGGTTACCTCCTCAAGCAGCTCTTGCTCGCTGGCTTCAGACTCACTTAAGCTTAGGTCTTCCTCGGATTCTGCTGCATCCAATTCCGTATCTTCTTTAGGAAGCTTTTGTTCACTAGAGTCAGAGTCACTTCTATTAAACTCTTCCTCTGAATCCATAAAACTCGTTTTGGTTTCTGCTATTTCACTTTCACTTTCGCTTACATCTTCCTCCGACTCGGTGTCTTCCTTGGGCAGCTGTTCTTCACTTGCTTCAGACTCCGAATCACTGCCAAAAAGGTAGGAAATAGATCGTTTTGAATCCACTAAAGTTCTACCTTTGCTTTTATTAGACTTGCAGGAGTTGCTATCCAATAAAGAACCTGTAACACTCTGCATGGTGTAGTCCTCTGAATCGGAATCGCTGGAGTATACATTTTTATCCACTTCTGGTATTGCTTCTGTTATGAAAGCAGGGTGTTCCTGGTCGGAAAAAACCTTTTCAGAGTTCAAATCCGAATCAGTCTCTTCACTAGGTAACTGCTTTTCACACAGATTGGATTCTTTCTGGGAATCACTGCCATTAAAGGACGTATCCAGAGAACTTGGCGGTTCTTTTAGGAAGTTGGTAGTGTTTGCCTTTCCCTTTGGCTGATTTTCCATATCAAAATCAGCACTTCCAAGGACTGGTTCTGAAGGATTTAAAACCTCTGTAGACAAATCTGGTAAGCTAGTAATGATTGTCTTATCTTTTTGCTTATTTTTCAGTTTGGGACATGTACTTAAAGGCAGATCTGTTTCCTCAGTAAATAAATCTGGTAAAGTTGGAAGGTTTTCCTCTGGCTTTCCTTCTGTTTCCTGGCAGGTAATCCCTCCAGAGTCCTCTAAGTTTTCAGTATTTGCTGTGTGCTCCAGGTTTTCGTCTGGCTTTCCATCTGTTTCCTTGCAGGTAATCCCATTAAAGTGCTCCAGTTCCATGTCATCTTTCAAAGACGACTCAGTGTCTGCCAGGACTTTAGGTAAGGTTGGGAAGTGGCTTACACATTCACCCTCTGTGGCTTGCTCCTGTTCTGCCTGCCTTGTCACCTTGGAAGTCAACTGGAGCAAGTACATTTCCTCCTCATCCAATTCCATATTATCGAGATTATCACAGTTTGCCATGTTAAAAGTATTCAAGTTGCTTAAAAATTGTATGGCCGTCTCTGGCTCTTGTTCTTCGACTAATTTCACCGATTCCTGGGTGTTTCCTGGGTGATCCTCTGCAGGCTTCATCTCCTGACACGTTCGCTTGGCAATGGGCTTTATAAGAGAAGCAGCTGCCTGTCGCTTTTTAGATTTTCGCTTTCGTTCTTTAGGTTTTGGTGGCAGGCGTATGGGCGTGATATCCCCGCCGTGACTGATGTTTGGTGAGGCTATGATGGGATCTAAGCCAACGTCCATGCACTCCGTGCTGGCAGAGAAGTCTAAAAGGAACGTCGACTGGATTAATCCACTTACTGACTTGATTTTGTTGGGGTTTTTACCTTTCTTGCTGGCGCTATTGCTAGAGTTCTCCTCCGGCTGGCATTGGGTGCCCTCATAGAGCTCGTAGAGCCATCTGGTAAAGTCCGCCTGACTGACAGTGGGCGGGCTGGGGCGCCGCTGGAGCAGTCCCAGCACCATTTGGCCAAATACCTGCCACAGCTCCTCGAAGGCCTGCGGCGGCAGATTGGCCAGGCAGCTTTGGTTTTGAGGTAGAAAGTTGAGCAGCTCCTTGGCGAGCTCCCTGGAAGACCTAGCCTCCTCCTTAACGCTATCCAGCATGGTTCGCGAGGGTGGCCGTGAAGCGGACACCTTGATTTGCGGCGGCACCTCCGATATAAAGTCAATCTCCCGGTGTATATTACAAAGCGTGGTGCTGGTGGCCACACTGACGGTGGCGGGCATATGCTGCTCCTCCACTTCGAGTGGGAAATCACATAGGGGACTCAGCGGGCCCAGTGGTTCATCTCGCCAGGACAGCATTTCGTCGAGTATCTGTTGCACATTAGGCATTGGCTTCGGTTCGGGGAAGGTGGTGCCCACATGGCACTTCTTGATAAACGAGGCCGTCGTGGTGCCCCTGGTGGTGGTGGTGGCCTTGAACTGCATGCTCTGGTCGCGGGTCTGTATCAGATTCTCCACCTGCACGGCCACAGAACACAGAATGGGCTTCTCTGGGACAGGCCCCGCATCTGTTTGCGTAGCTTGGCTCCGCCGTTTGTTCCGCGGACTGGGACTCTTGGGCGTAGGCATACTGATGTTGGCCGTCTTGCAGTAGTCCTTCAGCTTCTTAACGATGTTCTGGTCACGACGCACTAAGCCAGCATCGTCGCCCAGTCGCTGTTCCAGCTGCAGGAGGATTCCTAGCACTTCTTTGGCATCTACGGGCAGAGCCCGCTTCTCCAGCTCCTCTTGCAGATTCTCGCCGATTATGACCTGCGCATCCAGCTCTTTCTCCAGCTCCGCGCACCGGTCGCCCAATTGCTGGGATTTCTTTTGCAGCTCAAGGCGCTGCTGTTTTTCCTTCTGGTACAGATCCGTCACCTCCTGTGCGGTGCGCTGCAGGTCGGCCAATTTTTTGTTCTGTGCCTGGAGCTGCTTCACCTGCCGGATCAAGTCGTCGCCTTGGGCAATTCGCTCTGCCAGCCGGATGCGCCTTTCCTTGACCCGCCCGTTGATCTTGGGCATCGGAATCTGCTTGTAGGGCGCCAGGAAGCCATCTTCCAGCGCTGTGGTGGTGTCCAGAAGGTGGTCAATATCGATGTCTGGAAACTCGAGGTCCATGGCTGCGGTATTTCACGTGGTCGCGTTATTGCTCGCCGCCACGGCGGTTACATCGGGTGGAAAGGGAAACACGAATGCATTTCTCTTAATACTCGGCGATTACAGCTGCTATTTTGAAGTCTGTGGCGGTGGGTTGACTGGTTTAATATACAAAACAGAAAACTAAAACAATAATCCGCGTTTTTCTGCAGCCGGTCACCAAAACATTTCCCATAGAGATGTGACCGCAGCGATAGGTTGACCCAGAACAAAGTTATCGATAGGTTTTTGGTATATTTCAGGGGTCCATTAAAATACCATTCTCAGAAATTTCTTAACGCCATTTTACATTTTCATTAATATTATTAAAATCATTTTATTTCCGTTTTCAACTCATTTTATTCGCCGATTTCACGTTAAACCAAACACAAACAGCTCTGAAATGTTGATGCAACTATTAAAACTAAGTGACTGGCCGTTTAGTGGTGCTCGGCATGCTCCTTAGCCTGGGACTCGGCCCATGCCTTCTTGTTTCCCTCGGAGTTGGCTGAAAGGTGGCAAAATAAAGTTTAGCACAATGATTAAATAACAGATATTCAGCAAGAAACGCACCCAATTTGCTGATCTTGTAGAACACGGGAACGCAGGCGATGGCTGCAACGAAGTAGTAGCGCCAGATCCACTGGTTCTTCACATAGTGCTTGATGGGGAACTGGGCGATCTTCGCCGAGAACGTGTAGGGGTAACGCATGGGGCGCCCGGCGGGCTTCTCAGCTGCAGCTTTGTCGGCCATGGTAGTTGAAGATTTGGATGCTGCGGCAATCAAAACGATGGATTTTCAATTTATGCAAAAATTATGTAATTTTCAGCAGCGGCAGGCGAACGTACGTACCTCACAAAAAGACAGCTATGGGAATGCCAACTTGCTTGGGGTAACAAACGCTAAAAATGGCTTTGCCTATCGAAATACTTATCGGTGGCAGTATTTAATACTTTTCCTAGTATATATATACAAGGAAATCTCTGGTACCACTGGGACCCAATATCAGCTGGTAGACTTTTTGCCATCGTGAGCAAACTTTTGACGCCAACATAAAATAAAACACAAATTGTAAGGTAAATGGGTAACCATATACAAAACTGTGCGTTGCTTCGAGCTCTTAACAAACTAACCAAAAACCCTGAAGCCAAGCCTGGAAGCTAGCCACGCTGCTACTTAAGTTTGAGCCTGCCACCTTTCACATGTCCTTTTGCCATTTAAAAAAACAAGCCTCTTTCTCTATATTTCAAGCTTTCTTTCGCAATGGTTGTAGCCAGCGAACAGGTGCCACAGGTATCTAGCTAAACACACTTGAGTCCTATTAACTTTTGTTTGATTTTATCAAGTATCAAAATTTAGACTTAAATTTTGCATGGCTCTTTCAGTTGATACCTGGATTGGTTATATCTTACAAACATTACTGAATCATTAAGCTCTTTTAAATCCCAATTAATCCCAAATTCCACCACCGCAGACTGACGGTCAGAGCGCAAAGACCAAGCAAAAGAAGCAAAGGCAACGCAATCGACCTCGCAACAAACGAAATCGCCACGAAGATAGCAATCTAAACAACACACCGGAAACCGAGAGCTCAGCCACCGATTCTGCAAGTGCAATGCCGGGCGATAAGAGTGAAAAAACGGATGCGGTGGCCACGGAGAAGACGCGGGAGCAGGTAATGGCCGAGAGGGAGGCCAAGAAGCTAGCCAAACAGGCCAAGAAACAGAAGAATCCCAGTGCAGCCACTGCAGCCGGTGTGGCCACTCCAGCAACCACAATTATCACGGAAGTGGAGCAGACCACCATAACCACCAAGCTGACGACGACCACCACAACCAAGGCCAAGGAGAAGCTGGAACTGTTGGAAAAGAAAGCGGATACGGCGGTTACAAAGACATCCCCTGCGCCTGTGGAGAACGGCAAGGAAGAAAAGTCTCGAGAACAGATCAAGGCTGAACGGGAGGCCAAGAAGGCGGCCAAAAAGGCAGGCAAAAGCACGGTAGATAAAGTTGAGGCCGCCACCCAGCAGTTGTCCAACTTAAAGGTGACAGAAAACGTTCAAACACCAGCAGCAGCCAAGGCACAACCTCCCAGCTCCCTCGAAGCAAATCAGGTGAGATTTCTCTCCACAAACATCATAATCTTCAATTAAAATACCTTCTTCTACCACAGAAAAAACCAACTCTTAGCAAGGCCGAAAGACGTGCCATCCAAGAAGCCCAGCGTGCAGCCAAGGCTCAGGGACAGGCAGCCAAGAAACCGCAGCCTGGAGGCAAGGCTTCTACTGCTGCCCCACCCAGCAAGGAGCTTAAAAGGGAGAGCGTGTCTCCCGCCAAAGCAGCCACCAGCAGTTCCCCCAGCAAAGGTTCAACATCGGGTACTCCGCAGAGTGAGTGCCGGGTGAGGCTGTTCAATCACCTGGTTTGCGCCAAGGGAGACAGCCTGTTCATTAACGATCCCCTCGTCCACCCGAGCATAGCTCGTTTGGGTGTGCAATATGCCAAACGGACGGTTGTGGGTTCCAATGCCCGGTGCATTGCCTTCCTTCATGCGCTGCGGCAAGTGGTCCATGACTTTGAGACGCCGCCGAAGAAGGAGTTTGGACGCAGCTTGGATGCGGCTGTAAAGCATCATGTAGATCACCTGCACAAGTGCCGACCGCTGGCGGTTTCCGTCTCCAATGCCTACAAGCAGTTTAAGAACCAGCTCACCCAACTGCCAGCGGATACGCCAGAAACGGAGGTAAGTCCTTCCGTGAAGGTCCTTCCATAAATTCCTTATAAAAAAGCTTGAAATTCCTCTTGCAGTTAAAGGAGCTCCTGGACCACTTCATCGACACTTACATAGAGAATCAGATTGGCAAGGCAGCCCAAGCAATAAGCGGCTTCCTCCAGGAGAAGATCACCGATGGCGATGTCCTGCTCACCTTTGCCTGCTCCTCACTCATCCAGTTTATCTGCGAGGAGGCCAAGCGGCGGCAGGTCTCCTTTCGGGTGATTGTCGTCGATTCCCGTCCCGGCTGCGAGGGCCAGGAGATGCTGCGCCGCCTGCATGCCTATGGTATACCCTGCACCTATGTCCTCATCAATGCCGTGGGTTATGTCATGCCGGAGGCCACTAAGGTTTTATTGGGTGCCCATGCCTTGCTGGCCAATGGCTATGTAATGGCAAGGACGGGTACGGCTCAGGTGGCTCTGGTGGCCAATGCCAATAATGTCCCAGTGCTGGTCTGCTGCGAGACGCACAAGTTCAGTGAGCGCTTCCAAACGGACGCCATTGTGTACAACGAGCTGAGCGATCCCAACCAGCTGGTGCGCGGCGACAAGTGTCAGCTGAACAACTGGGCGGCGAAGGGTAAGCTGATGCCGCTGAACCTCAACTATGATATAACGCCACCGGAACTGGTGAATGCCGTGGTCACCGAGGTGGCCATCCTGCCCTGCACCAGTGTTCCTGTCATCCTGCGCATCAAGCCGGACATTGGCTACTAAGGGCAGGTCGGAGAATTTGTTGAATAAATAATTTTTATTACACTTTTTGATCAAATCGATAAACAAGGTTGCGTCTCGCCGGTTAATGCTAGTGGAATATATATGTATTAGTTAGTTCCGTGCCGCCCAGTGTCTGTACATCTTGGCTCCGGAATATCTTTGGGAAAGTATCTCCACCTAGAGAACTGTTTCCTCTTTCGTACATGTATTTTACATTCATAATTTGCACTCGATTGTACTTATTTTCCAGCTTAGGGATGTGTGCTTTCGGGTAGTAGCTCTAAATTCTAACAACAAAATACAGTTTTGTGCCCGACTTACATAGACTAGGATCATTCCTGGGAAGCGGATCTACTCGGGAGGGGGGAATGGGTGTATCCATTTGCAACAACTTTGAATGAGAGCTTCTATAAGCAGCTACTGGCTACAAATGCAACAATAAATACATACAATACAATTTAATTTAATAGAGTTATCATTTCCAATCACTGCCTGACTTGCCCCTTACGGGCTCTGCTTTTGCATCTGCATTTGCCGGAAGCAGCCGCGGCACACGGGCACTGCCTTGCCACTGTCGTGTCCAGGCAAAGCCACATTCTTGTCTATGCAACGCTCGCAGAAGATGTCCCCGCAGCGCCAGCAATGGGTCTAAAGAAGGATTAAGAAGAGGGAATACTATAATAAAGAGGATTGCTAATAGTGGTTCCGATTGTTACCTTTTTCGTAAACTGATCAAAGGGCGTGGAACAGGAGCAGGTGGTCACATTCCTCATGGGCTTCCAGTCCACAGCCACGGAGTTGATCTCCTCGGGCAAGGTTTGCGGCGCACTGGCTTGCTCCGCATTCAGCGACAAGCTGGCAAAGGACATGTTGCTGGCTTTTAAAGGATGATCGTCATCGGCAGCCGAGAGTTCGCTCAGCTTTTTGTCATAATTGTATCTGTTGAGGAACATACATATATTATAAAGATTATACGATCCCTGGTATATATTTCAAATTTAGGACTTACTTGTTATCATTGATCTCTGCGCTGGCGGGCTCCTTGCTGACCTTTGCGGTGTTGCTGGTGGCATCCTGCAGCTTCTTGGCCGATTTGGAGATGTAGTTCTTGAAACTGGCTATGCGCTTGGTTAGATGCTGCACGTGATCCTCCAAGGAGTTGCAGTGTTCCTTGCTATCGAGAAGCAGATCGCCTAGAGGCTCTCGCGGATGAATGCCGCTCTCAAAACGGCTGTACATGCCCCGCCAGAATCTAGCCAAGAAAAACAAAAGATTAAATCATAACAAAAAGCATTTAAAAATTCCAATTACTTGATGCACTGGGGCGCCAGGTTGGCCTTGATGGACTCATCCACATTGGGCTTGTACAGCGGATTAATATACTCATTCAGGTGGTTGGCCATGAAGCCCCACAGGGAGAATGTGCGCTCTGCCAGCTTCAAGTCCAGGCGATCCTTCTCGCAGTTACCCACAAAGGTGCCAAACTGACACGAATGCACATGGTCGTGTAGGATCAGCAGGAAGCGCTCGTTAAACTCAAAGGATTCGCTGCGCTGCGACATCAGCTGCCAGGTGCAGTCCAGGAACTGGGTAAAAATCGGTGAGACTTCTCGCGCATCCGTCTGAATGTGACCGCAACGCTCGCTAAACTTGTGCCCAAAGGCCAGCCAGTCCTTCTCGATCAAAGCCTGGAAGCCCTTGATGGTCCGGTAGTAGGGATTCAGCATGAGCTGGGCCAGCGAGCACACCTGGGCAGTGCGATCCCAGCCATCAGAGCAGTGGACCACCACAGACACACCCTTGTCCACAGCGTTGGCTATAAAGCTGTGAAGGGAGAGAAGAATATGTAGGGAATACCCAACCATTTCCTCTTCTATTTGCCCACCTCGACGTGTCCAATATGGAGCGTATGTGCTTCAGCCAGCCGGATGACTCGAGGGCATTCAAAAAAGCGCTCATCGTCGGTGACTTTTGTTCGCAGGCCTCCAGCACTTTCTGCAGGCTGGCACGTTGCACGTGAATATTCTCGATGCCCAGGAAATGGAACTTGATGTTCTCGTAGAAGGCCTCGTTCTCGTATCCCTTGCCGGCGGCTCTGTTGGCCATCGCATTTATCTGTGAACCGAAACCGAGTCTAAGTGGTTTTATTTACATATGCTAAGCATTTAGGAACTTACCCGCGGCCTCGTGTCCACCACGTACATGTAGTCTGTGTTTGGATTTGTCTTGCGTATGGCCTCCAGCATTTGCTCATCCTCCAGACAGCGGGCACTGAAGCCGGACAGGGGCTGACTGCAGCGGCAAATGGAGGCCTAAGTTAATAGATTTTGAGTTTATTAAAGTTCTTTAGTAGTTTTAATAATATTTTAAGGTTTTAATATATATATTCACCTTGTTATTGTGCAGATAGGTAAGCGCTGGCAGGCGACCCTTGGAGCGGAATCGCGAGCTGCTGATCAGCATTAGCGTGGTGGCCTCCTTGGGCACATAGATCTGACGCGGATAAGTGTCGCACAGCTCGTACTTTTCGTTCATGGAGCACAGCGTCCAGTTCTCGTTGGGCACCAGCATGTGCTTGAACTCGGCCTCCAGCTTGAAGAAGTCCCAGCCGGCATTCTTGGGGAAATCATCCTTGGCCGGTTGGTAATTGAAGCAATACAATTTGTTGATGGACACTGCAACCCCCGGGAAATGATTTTGTTATTTGCATATTATACTTGGTTTTTGCACTCTTACCCGGCTGGAAGAGCTTAAGGAGCGAGGTGTATACATCGTGGCACTCGGAGTCCTTGGGTATGACAAATGTCACCGACAAGAAGGTCTTGCAACGGATGAGCAGCGGCGATCCTGTGGTGCTTAGTGGTAGCTTTTCAATGCTGGCCACGTGCATGTGAAGTATCTGAAGGTTATAGGAATTACTTAATTAATTTCTTTCCTAATCTAAAATAATTAGCTTGCTCAATATTTGTTGAAAAAATCCTAGCTAAGATCCCAACTAAGCTCTTAATAAAGCATTTCAATCTACAAGTGAATTAGATACTTATTTCTGACGCTACAACTCTCGAAGTTCTATGTACGTGCCTGCATCCCAGATACTATATACTCTACCAAATCAAACTCATATGATACTAAATACCAATCATACAAGCTTACTGCCTGTTACTTTCCTCAAAAAAATACAGCTTATGGCCCTGACTTCGTCCAGGGTTGCGATTATGCAACTGTTCGCCCCAAAAAAAAGAAAACACGGAAAACCTCAATGGAACTCTACTTACTTTCCCACCCCCCCTTTTGGGGGAGACCGACTACGTGCCTGGCCAGGAACTGCTTTCGCCACTAAATAATTGATGCGCCCCAGTGGCGGGCAGTAAAAAAAAAAATAAACAAAAGTGAAGTAAGGGAGCCAGGACAAGGGGCAGCTGCTGGATTATGAGAAACTAAAAGCAAGCAATTTTCAATGGCACAGAAAATCGATATCTCCTTTGCTGCTCTTCTTAAATGCCAGGCCACTCTGCTGCCGCTGGACTTGGTTTCAACTTTTAATTAACCACTTAGTGTGTGGGCGACTCATCCGGGGATAGTGCGGGGGCTTCTCCTGGGGCCACTTGTGGCACTCGGGTTCGCCAACTTGCACCAGGAGAGCTTCAGCGGCGACGAGTGCATAATTAATACAATTTTTGGCTTGGCAATTAAAATGCAATGCATGCGTGATTTTGGAGGGCAACTGAAAAAAAAATATTACGTATACGCCGGGTAGGGCAATTTGCAGATGGAATAATTAAGCACATTTAGTGGCACTTGCACACCCAGTGATGTGGGGTTTTCCTGTAGTAAAAACGAGGGAATATCAAAGGATACTACCACTGGCTTGGCGCTGAGCCATTGTCCTTTTAATATAGCAGCGCAAGGAGAGCCCCCAGCTTGGAGGCTAACAAATCGCGTTGCCCGGGACAATAGTGAGGCGTTAAGCTGGCACAGCATTTACTAGTTGATTTTCCTTCCCCCTCTTGGCATTGCATTTAAAGAGTTTCCCTTGGTGGTAACAAGGAAATATGCTTTGCAATTAATACACACAATAGCTGTGGGCGAATGGGGCGTATACGCAACACGCTTATGCAAACTTTCTTTTGTACGCCTTGGAATGCAGTTTGTAGAATTAAATTCCTTCGATAAACAGGCTAAACTTAAAGCAACAGAAACATGTTGCAAAAACTTGTTAAAAGGAAACTTTTCCGCAGCAAGGCACTTATCCTAAGCGTAAGCCTTGGTGCTTGGTGGAAATGCAGCAGATCTCAGCCAGCTTATGGTTTTTTCTAAAAAACATTTTGACAGCTGCAGAGAGGTTGGAAATAAACCAAAAAAACCCATTTAAGCACGTACCCAGAGACGCAGACTAAGGTGACTCACTAAAGTGTTTGTTTTGTTTGGTTTTGTTTTAGTTTCTCTTTTTTTTTCCAGGCCAAGCAAATAAACATTCAGCACTCTTAAGTGAACTGAAAAAAGTTCTTGCCACACACAATGGCCGCGTTTTTAGTTGAAGAAATTGATGATGTCATCCTTCACTTACCCAGGTCTCCTTGTTGCTGTCGGGCTCCACGAAAATCAAATGGGTGGCTGTCAGATATAGGGTACCCACCGTGGGATTCTTGGTGTTGTAGCGATCTATCATCCGCACGTTTTCCACCTGTAAAGAGAAGAGAGAAAAATTGGTTACACTTTGATTTAAATTCTTTCTTTTTTGGCGAGCGGAATTTCTGGTACTTTCTTTCAGCTGCTGCTGCCCCCCCACTGACGTCAGTGGAATTCATATAGTTATCCCCCTGCCAAGGATAAAAAACAAACTGCATTGACACTAAAAGGACGAAGGGAAAGTTTTTCAATCAACGTTTCAGCGAATCCTCAGAACTTCATCAAACATTCAACAGGAACTCAGGATATATCACAGGATGTATGTATATGGTATGTAGGTTAACTTTAAAGCATCAAATAAATATGGGCATCCTCGCTGCCCTTTTGCGGTTAGTTGGTATTCAGCCATTAAATAAAACCGCCGGGCAGCCAGCAGCCGACACATTAATTCCTTTGATGGTCCTTCAGGTCCTTCTACCCTACTCCTCATCCCAGTCCCTCGCTTTCGTAGGCTTTCCTTTTTGTTTTTCGTTGCCTCCCCGGGTAGGAGGCAGTTTTTATTGCCCTGGAGACTTACATATTGCATGTCCCGGGAGCTGTTCATCATCGGACTAATTTCCTTTCATGTCACTCAGATTGAGGCCTTTGTTTGAGCCGGGTCCATGGTCGGCGAATAGATAAGGTTAGTTAATTGTCTGATTTAGCCAGTGGGAGTTCATTACTCTCGCCCGGCGGGGCGGACAATTCAATTTAACATGTAAATTATATATGGGCTTCACGGCCGGATGATTGGCTTACAGATACTCGGCTAGCAACATTAGGAGGTTTTGTAATCGCTCCATGGAGTATTGCATTTATAGAGTAATGGGTTGGGGATTAAAAAGATTTATATTTAATTTTCTCACTTGTTGTTTTTACTTTTAAATGGGAAGTAACCTTGTAGGTTTAGTTAATTATATAAAAAATAGAGCCCTGTTGAATGCTCTGAAGAGACACCCTTTGGGGGCTTCGAACTGTTGAAATTCGATTCGATACATTAAATCCCTTAAATTAAACCAATATCCCTTAAGGCTGTATATTTTTCCTCAGGCATATTTAACACATATTGCTCTTTAGACTTAAATTAGCTGAACAATGAAACAACTAATCTTACATAACAATAAATTTCTAGCTAATCCTTCCTTGCTAAACCAATTCAAACCAATGATCAAATGTGTGTCAAAAGCCATAAATCGAACATAAAATTGGAAACACACGCCGGCTGCCATTAAACCTCAAACAACGGAATTGCAAATAGAGATTAAATTGAACCCAGACCCCGGGAGACCTTGGTAGATGTCAGCCTGTTGCCACCACAGTGGCGACAACACTAGATGAACGAGTGCAATTTGCCCCAGCCCAGAGGAAGCAATTCCATCTCTGACTTTGATTGACAACCCATTACATTCCGCACTCGAGTGTCCTGCTGGCAATGCAACAATTCAACAATTTGTACGTGCTTGTGGCAGGGAGTGACGCACAAGGCGCTCCGGATGCAGGGCAGGATGTATATAGTCCAACTGCAGTTTTCCTCTAACCAAGTGACCCAAATAGTTGGGGAACAGTTTCGGGAAGGGCAAGTGCCTCCCAGGTCCCCGAACATATTGCCCGAGCTCTCTGGCCCGCTGGTAATTTGCATATTTTCCGGCCACTAGCCGGTGGCAATGCGTAAAACGGAAAATTAGTTGGATTCCATTCTCTCCCGCATCGTTGAGATTTGCATAAAAATGGGCCGCAAGGCAGTTGTTACCTTCTTGAGCACAGTGTTGCCATTGTAGAAGACGGGCGCCTCGTTAAACTCCTCCTCGATCCACGATACGACTTTGTCGGAGACGAAGGGCGGCACGGGCACACCCCAAAGCCGCTTGTTCCCGTCCGGCGGCTCTTCCGTCTCCGGCGAGATGTTGTCGAAGCTCAGGCGCAGCGCTGAGGTGGGGGACAGTTGGCGCTCGATCTCGTTGAACTTGTTCATGAATCGGGTGAAGTCCATTGTGCAAGAGCCAGCCGGATTTTATTGATTTTAAGTCAACAACAAAAACAATAACAACAGGAGGGAGGGCGCTCGCAAATCAAACGGAATGAATTCGCGCTGGGTGGGCGGTAATAACTCTTGAGACTTTCACTTTTCGCCTGCCGCACGAACGGCAAAACTCGAAATGTACACTGCAAATCGCTGTGGCTTCTTGTGTGCGATTTTCTATTGGCTTTCTCTGGGTGTATGTGTGTGTGTGAGTGCTTTTCGGAGAAAGCGAGAGCTGCGATGCGCTCCCGTCGAGCGTGGAAAGTTAACTCAGCTGCCTGCCAGGCGCTTAAAAGCGTGCTACGATTTGTGTTGGGGAATTTTGGCATGAAGGGAAAAGCTCTCTTTGACATGGGAAATTTAAAGAGAGCAAGCAGGGCACATTTGCATACCCTGCAAGGGTTATAGGTTCTGTTTACTAACGGTTAGAAGGGATTTTTAAGAAGCAATAGAAAAATATTACTGGAAGTTCAAATGAAAATGAAATGAGATTTAAATAAAGAAAATAATAAACAATATAAACAAATAATAAAAATTAATCTTATATCTACAAATACTGTCCAGATTCCCGCCAAAATGGTTTTTGATATTATATCCTTTTAAAAAGCGCCAAATACTTTGTAAGAAAATATAAGCCCTTTTAGGCGCTTAACTGATTAAAATAGATTTGGCCTCAATTGACTTTTAATAAATTGCGATTTCTGTAATTAACGTCAAGAGATTAGATTTCTACTGATTACACACCTTGTGGAATATTTTACCCTGGAATTTTACCCTTTCAACAAAATAATTTCATATTCCAAGCTCAATATAAACAATCCTGTGGAAGGCCTGGGATTCGGACATCTCCATTGATGCTGAGGGTATTATTTTCGACAAGTTACTTTTTCACGGTTAAAAACTGGCCCCTCAAATTGCGCCTGTGTGGGATGTTGTGGGTGTGGATTCATGGGAGAGAGGTCACCCCCACCTATTTACTTTCTATGCGCATGTTTTACGGTCATATATTAATAGATATGAAATTGGTTCTTGTTGCTTTCTCGGGAAATGCTTCCCACGATATGGTGGGGGAGAGGGCGTGGAGCAGCCAGCCGGTAGCTCCTTTTCGCCTGCACAGGTCAACACCTGACCGTCCCATCGATTTTCAAGCCATCCAGGCGGATGACTCACAACCCTTTCGGGCATCCAGGTGCTCCCCACATAACGGCCATGGCTGCGTTTAACCCTATCGCACAATTTGGCATTGATTAAGCTGGGAACTAACCTTGGCGAGCTTTATTTCGTCCATTGTTTACGTTCTGATTGGGTTTTTCCTGTTGCCTGCGTTGAAGAGCGCGCGGTGCTGAATCACAGTCCGGCTTGAGTGGACACCGGTTTTAGAAGCACACGCGACGAAAGCTTTGGTATTTGGTGTTAATTGTTGATGCACTTTCCTATTTAATTTGCATTTTTGATAAATAATAATAATTCTGCGATTTGGTGTGACCGTGTTTAAGCCGTTAAAATATACCGTGGAACTGTCCACTCGGGCCACATGGCAGTTAATATCGATAACATACCACAGAATAAGGTGACCAGAGTTACTTGCTTTTAATAATTTCAAATTTTAAAGGTAACGGTTTTACAGAATAAGCTTTTTGTAATACACTGCAAAAATATTTCTATTTAATTCTAAAATTAAATTGTGTGCGCAAAAATGCCTTTAATATAATAGTTCAAATTTGAAACACATATAAATAACAAAGATTGCTGTTTGCTATCAAAAATTGACTAACATTGACGGTATAGTGTGGGCTTAACCCTTCAAGTGCACTTGAGGCGTGGGTTAAATGCGGTGAGTGTATTCGTCATTGGTGCTTATTTACGCAGGCCTACGTATTTGGTCCAGACGCCCTTGTTGTCAAAATATGGCTTATTCCGGGAGCAAATGATGGCCTCCCTGAACACATCGGCATAGGAAGAGGGCATGGAAGTGTGTTTGTACAAGTTAAAGAGGAATTCGTAGACCTGAAAAGGATACAAGCGCATTAAAATAAGATTTTTAAATAATTTTAGGGTTATTTCAGACCTTGGCCTCCTGATCCTTCCAGAAAATATGATCGCACAGGTACTGCATGCTCTCCGGGAAGAGCGCCAATCGCTGCTTGTCATCCTTGGCCACCACATCCACACTGCCCAGCAGAACTGCACAGCCGGAGAGCACATCCACCGCCAGCATAAAGATGTCCAGCAGATACAGAGCCCGGTTCACCTTCTCCTTGTTGGAGGCCTCGGCCAGCAGCATCTGGATCTCCAGGAACATCTCTGATATCCAGTTGCAGGCATGTTCGTCGCTTCCAAAGGCATACAGTGTGGCAGCCAGGTGACGATAGAAGAATGCTCGCTCCTCCTCCCGCTTTTCATAGGCATCTATGATGGGCGTTAGCCACTTCAAAGGATTCGGCAGCTTCTCGTTGTACAGCACCAGATAACATCTGATAATGGTGGCCTTTTTGAGTTTGCCAGCTGGTGTCTCCCACCAGTTAGCAGGCGTGGTCAGCCCATCAATAGCATTTGGATGCAGGGTGGCCACCACCTCGGTGTAGCGTTCGAAAAGCCTTGAATCCAGATTCACTGAGTCCATGTAGCGCTCCACAATCAGCGTGAAGACATCGAGGACCTCGGGTATGTCGCACTTTCCCGTAAAAATGTACTTGACGCTCTCCAGGAACTTCTCAAAGAGACAGCCTTCTGCAAAGTCGTTGAGTTGCGATTCCTTGAAGCAATACACAGCCACTTTCTCGGCAAAGTTCTTTAAGATTTGCAAGCTCACGCTGTTGGCAATCTCCGGCAGCAGCGAGAAGAGTAGGAGGAGATCCTCCTCAAAACAGTTGGGCTCAAAGTCCACCAGGAAGTTCTCTAGCAATCGCTTGGCTGTGCGCGAGTTCAAAGCCTGATTCTTGGCTATCATTATGCAGTACTTCCGGGCATCAAAGGACAGGTGAAAGAAGCTCGTGAGGCAGCTCCAGTCGAGTGGCGGAATGGGCTTGGAGAACTTCTTCGACAGCGAACGCAGAGCAAAGGTCACGGCATAGGGCTCGGGCACGTAGTCCCCAAAGCGAGCCTGGCTCACCACATAATTGGTGACCGCTCGAAGGGGACTGGTGGCGAACAGACCCACCAGCTTGCGTGGCTCTGGTTTTCCCTCGGGCAACCGATACACTCCACTCCGGAAGCCATCAATCTCGCTGCCTATGTGATGGGAAATCAGATCTGCCGCTGCATCTCCACACTCGGGACGTATCTTCTGCAGCAGCTGCACCCACACCTCACCCGGCACTGTCTCCTGCTGGAGATCTAGGACCTCCCGGCCACCTGGGACACTAACACCTCCTCCGACAATCTCAAATCGAAACTGGGCTGGTATGTGGCGTAGATTGAGGGTGGTTCCCGGCTCATAGTTCTTCAAGGCAGCCAGGGAATTCCGAACCTGTGCGGCATCTGTGCCAGGACGACTAATGGCCTGCCACAGCTGTTCCAAAGCATCGTCCGCCAGCTTCTCGTACTCCAATGTGGGCGTCTGCAGGAGCGGCACAAGGCCAAAGAATCTGTAGAGCGACTTAAGGGTTTGTGGACGCTGTTCACTGCGGAATTTACTGCCCAAGGCCTGCCAGGTGGAGGCTATGTTTACGGTGTGGCTATCGCACAAGGCATAGATGGCATCCAGGGCCAGGGCAGTGGCTAGATCACCTGCCTCATCAGAGCAGTTGTTGAGGGTGTTGCTAAGATGAGGCAGCAGCTCCGAGCCATGCAAAGAGGGTCTGAAAAAACAAGGAATTTGTTAAGGATAATAAGGAAGATTATAAATTTTCTACTTACTTTTCCTGACAGATTTCCCTCATGGCATGGGTGCGTGCTATCTGCAGTTCCCAGCGCTTGTCGCCCTCCGGCAGAGGCTGCGCTATTTGCTTTAACAGAAAAGGATAAGTACGCGTTTCCACACGCCACAAGCGCAGATACAAATCCACGCAAAAGGTGCCATTCTCAGCAGACAGATTCCTTATGGTGTTGAGTATCATGGGGACATTGTCCTAAAATAAAACATTAATTAAGGAACTTTAGAAACTTCCAAGAGACTCACCTTGGACACTGCAAAGCTGGCCAAGCCCCTCATTAGCTCCAGTTGCAGCTCCGGATTGTTTTCGTGGGCCAGCTTAAAGATATACGTCATGAGGAAGTCATAGGCAATGCCCTCGTTCACTTTGATGATCTGCAAGATGACCTCATAGATCTTGAACCAGCAGTCCACTGGAGGCTCTCTTGAGAGGAATAAAGCCCTAAGGAACAGATGCAAGCGCTGACAGAAGGCCGTATTGGCCTTGACATTTAAGGCATCTACAAACGCAAACACATCCTGGTTATCAGAGGCATCAAACGACTCCACCAGAGTGGCCAGATCAAAGGCTATTGCTATGTCCGGATGATAGTTGCGCATGTGGGCAGGCTTTAGCAACTTGGTGGCTATTCTCTCTCCATCCTGCTCCGATCTCTGGGTATCCAGCACCCTGTCCACTATCTGGTGAGCCAACGCCAAGCCCTCTGCGGGTATGAATGCAGTCTGAGACATCCACTGGATTATGCCGTCCAGACACATGTTCAGAATGTATTCATGGCCACAGCGCTCCTGTACCACCACGAAAACGATGATGCGCAGCAGATCCGCCAAATAGAATGGCGATAGAACGTGCAGCACCTCCGATAGGAGCACGAGCAGCACATGGTAGTGATCCTTGGTGTGCTCTCGCGTGGCATGGAGCACTCGCAGCAAGCATTGCAGGCTGGGACGCGGATCGATGCCGTAGTTGGCCAGTTGCTTTATCAAACAAGCCTGATAGATGGCCAGATCTATGGATTGGGCGTGATCCTCGCGCTGGAGGAAGTGATCGATGGCCTCAATCACCAGAATGCTGGTGCACAAGCAGGTGCTGGCATTGTTGAACTTGCTCCAGGCCAGCAGCTCCTGCATTAAAGCTCTAGCCTCTGGTTGATTGCCACTAAGGTTGAGGAGGCAAGTCCAAATGGGCTTAACATCGTGCAGGGTTTGAGGATTGCAGAGTATGTATAGGAACACCGGACGAAGGTACTCTATACTATAGTCCCGAATGCTGGTTGTTTAAAGGGAAAACATGGGTTAATCTGTTGGGAGGGGTAATATAAGTACTTACCCCTTGTCATGGTGCTGACAGATGCCAATGATCTTGTTGCTCACATCGTGCATGTTCACACTCGAGTGCTGGAGCAGCGAGATCAGAGGATGCTGCTGGGTCTTCAGGCCATAGGAGCACTGGTAGGACTCCTGATCTTTGAGCAGCGACGTCTTGCGCTTCAAGTTAAGGAGCTGGAGACCCAGAACGCTTTCCGTTATGATGGAAAAGTGCAGGGGTCTGTAAGGAAAATGAGAAAATTTTCATTATTTCTTTTTAATTATTGTATTCACTTTACACTTTACTTTATAATTGTTACGATTCCTGGTACAAATCTATGAAAATATTAAAGCTACATGAAAAATATGCAACTTAATCAGCAAAAAAGCCACTTTGCCTCAGAAACCCAAGTAATCAGTGTTAAATTCCAGATAAAAGTACAATGTAAGCCATCATTAAGGTGGAACTGGCGTTTAGCACCCACTTCCGGGGGCAGTAGGAGCTGGCAGGCAGCAGAAAATCAGCAGTCAAGGATTAGGAGGTGGAGCAAATCGCTTTGCGTTTGACGGGGTAATTATTATTCACGCGCTGACCGCTGCTCCCCCCTGCAGGCCAATTAATATGCAATCCTTTTTACCTGCACCTGCACTCGGCTAGCACTTGCAGCCCGCCTTATCAAGGTTAATTCCGGTCTTACATGACCGCTGTTGTTCGTCCTTCGTCAGCAAACATTTCAAGTTCAATGCCAGACTCTAAGCCAACGCCTTTTGCATACAAATCAAATCAAATATTTGGTAGTCAAGGACGCTGGACATGATATAGGAGGAAGAGGACTTTCTACCTGTGCGTGGCTGGAAGTGGCTAATAGTTTTTATGGCACCGCCTGCATAATCGCTTAGAGCCAGAAGATTGACGACCACGGATTGCGGCCAAGCGGAAATCAACTCAATGCCAAAATAGAACTGGGTTTGAGGGGAGTAACACAGCAAGAGTCATAATTCATTTGCGCATTTGTTACATGACGTGCCAAGTGCTGGGGGGCAATTAATTTGGGCCACGCGTCCAGCGGAAATGCGAGGGATTGCGTGCTGACGGAGGGACAACAATGTTCCTGGAGGCACTCGGTGGCAGGCGTTAAATGGCGCGTTAATTAAGTGGCTGCAGTGGGTTTAGCTTTGCTGACTGCTTCGGTAATTTATGCACCTTTATGTGGGCAATTTTGCAAAATGAAATCGCTGCGCTCCACTTAGCCTGCACCTACAGCAGCTGCTCCCGCTCCTGCTCCTCCTCCACCTGCTGCAGGAAGTTCAAAGGCGCGCCCCTGCGGAATTGTGCTATGTGGGTCGTGGGCGTGTTTCCAGCTAGATATAGATATAGACATGCAGATACTTTATACTCTTACCCCGCACTGGCCAGCATGGAGAGCAAACTGTTCTGCACTCCATTGGCCTCCAAGGCGCCCTCGTCCACCAGCCGCACCAGCGTCTGACAGCTCATCAGGCTCAGTTGCATGTGTTCGTGCTTGCACTGCGACTTGAGGAACTCGATTTCCTTGATCTGGTGCTCCGGCACCTGCTTGTCCCGACTCTCCACTATTTTCGTGTAGATCTTCTCCAGGCAGGCGGCCAATTTGACCACCGAACTGGTCGGCTTTATGCTGGCAAAGTCCTCCATGATGTGGTGCTGAAAACAGTGCAAAAACACAACTTATGTAGACTGAGAGATTTATGGTTTGTTTGGGCCCCCCGAAGTCGCGACGACTTTTCACCAACGGTGTGCGCGGCGCGTGTCCTTTCTGCTGCTCGGCTGCCACTCGAATGGAGAAGCCGATGTCGCAACGTCTGGGTTTGAACATTGCCGCGTTTCCTTGCGCTTTTCCACCCTCGTTGGGGCCACCACCCACTCTAGACTCACTCACGTTTTCCTTGTTTACTCCGGATTCGCTGACCACTGCGTGCTAGCTCATTTCAAGGATGTGGCGATGCAGGAAGCCAGTTGGTTAAGTTGGGTTTCCGTGTGAAAAGCTGTTTGAGCGGGGAAAACTGGGGAAATTATTGCAAAATAAATAAAAAGAAAAGCCGGTTGGCGAGGTTTTGTTTTGGTGCTTATCCAGTGTGACCGCGGTGCGGGCGTAGAAATATACCAAGGGATTGCGAGAAAAACACCAACTACGGGGGTTTCTGCAGAAACGATGGCAGCCCTGTTTTAACGGTATCTTGGGGATTTTAAATTCAAAATAGGAAATTTCAGCTTTAACATTTTACTTAAAAATACAATTTAAAGCTAAAATTACTAAATACCAATAAAGAATATACAGAGAAGAATAGGGTTATAGCTTAACTTACAGATTAAAGAATTAAAAACCATAGGAACTAGTTTCGTTTATAATAATTACTAAAAACTTCTTTTAACTTTTTCATTGTAAATTCACACGAAAATTAAATTTTAAATTACAGATTCTCCTTATTTAAATATCTATTAACTGAAAAGAATTCCGCTAGTAAATCTCCATTCCATTCAAGAAACCAATTCATCTTCATTTAATTCCATTTGCTAACCATGAAAAAAATTAAGCGAAATCTGAGAAACCCAACCAGCACTTATAAAAAAGTTAAACATTCGGATAATGGACTGCCCTTTGGCCGAGGAGGAAGCCAGAATTTATGTCCCAACACCAACTTCACCCGTTGATTTATTTACAGCATGCTCAGTTAAGCCACTACAACCTCATCAGCATCCTGCTGCTCCGAGTATCCTTTCGGTCCTGCGGAGCTGCTTCCGGGCCCTTGTTCTTTGCCGGCTGCTTTTTCAGTTAATTGACTTTATGCATTTTTGCAACTCCGCCGCGCCCCGTTGTCGTCGTAAAATGGAATTAATTATGCTGCTGCCGTTGCAGCTATAAAAATGTAACCAACCAGAATGGAGCTTCATAAAGGCCAGCGGACTCGGGACAAGGTGCTCCGAAAAAAAAGAGGCGAAGCCTCTGCTGGGAAAGTGAGCTCCAGCGAGTTTAAACTGCAATCATTCATGGCCGGCGCCCGCGAATCCTCAAACGGCAACGGAAAAAGCGGCGAAGACAAAGGTTAAGCCCAAGACAGGCCAACGTAATTTCCGCTTCCTGCCCCGGAGTTCATATTTTTCGGCAACTCCTTTCCTTTTTGCTCTTTGCTTTTCCGTTCCCCCTTTAACTTTTAGCTGGGGATTTATGATTTTATTACCAAATGGCAAAAAGGCATTGCAGAACGCAGAACTCGGAAGGCGGAAGCACTTTTTAACTCTGCGATTTTTGCAACTCAACTTGGGTTCTTTTTTTTTATTTGATTTTCTCCTTTTTTTTTTCTTGGCAAGGTGGCAGACCGAACTGCTGCAATTTGATCGCTTAAAATATTTCCCACAGTCTTAAAATGTGTATATCTTGAGCTCAAACAGATTTTGCGGTCTTTGTTATGTGGTTTATCGCGGGGGGCTTTTCATAATTTTCTTCTATTTTCAAGGCCACAAATCCTGGGGCATCTGTTGCTTTTCACCTTTATGGCCTGATGGCAAGTTTCAATACAATTTTCAACGGAAAATGTACATTAAGTATGTAGGAGGAGCAAGGACCTGTTGACAGAGAGTTCCTGAATATTTGCGGTTAAGTTAAGCCTGGCCAAGTTTACGATTCACTCGGTTAAGGTACACGATTTATTGAGTTGTATATTTGGCAACAGCTATCTTCTTATTCATTGCTTTGGCCGGGAAAATAAAGAGTTCCCCTTGTGCGCTTTAGTTTTTGGGGTTTCTGTGTTATTTACGGTTTCAACATAAAATATTTAAAGTGTTTAGAGGTTGGAATATGGCTTTGGAATTCCCTTTAAACATATAAGACAAGGTGGGTTGGAGTTTAAAAATATTTTTAAAATTATTTTCTGAACAAAAATAGATAAGTTATTATGTAGAAATCACAACTTCCCACGTTTTTACTACAGTTACAGGTCAAATAAATCATTTTTACAGTTAATATAATGAAAATTCATGAACTTCAATCAATTACTTTTTAATTGTACATAACTTATGATAATAATAATCCTTTTAGTTTATGTTTAAGCATATTTATCACCCAAATTTCTCTTGAAATATAATTATTCACCCTGCTTTGATGTGTTTTAGCCCCAAATTTAAATTCTCTCATTGCCTTAAATGCCACTCTGCGGTGGAATCACACGTTTCGGAAGCAATGCCGACTATAAAGGATAACGTTTCCACGAACTGAGTGTGTTGACACACCTACCTAGCAGCCCATGCGGCGACGACTAAGACAGAAAACGTAGACCGAATTCCGGGATAACAGGAATCCAAAGTTGGAGACGCCCGGAGACACGTGGCAAGTCGAATTTGCATATGCCCAGACACGACAGGTGTTCAGGCCCGTTCGGATCAACGCACCTTGCCGCCATCCACCACCACCTGTCGCAATGGCCACAATCACATTGCTTCAATTAAATGAAGGAGACTCATTAATAATGCAGACAGCGCATATTCGGATGACATATATATATATAGTATATATAAGGTAGCTGCACGTGTGTACAAGCAAACTTTAATGAAGAGCGACAAGCGGTGAATGAAAGGTTTTCCAGCATTTTCATTTTTTTTTTATTTTTTTAGTTCCAGATCTCCACATACAAGTTGCCGTGGAATTTATGAATATTTATGCTCGAGCTGTTTGTACTCGATCTGCGTAAGCTGGGCCGAGGAGCAATGAATATTTATAAGTGCCACAGTTAGTTACCTGGCGATGGAGGAGTTCGGCAGTTCAACTGGGATATCAAGCATACGCAGCGTTGGCCCGGCAACGATTTACCAAAGTCTGTGCTACGCGAACATTTTACACATTTTATACAGTTCATGCTGATTTCCAAAATAGAAAGGATAATTTATAATATTAAGGAGGCGATAGAATCATAAAAATTTCATTGAAATCTATATTTTTTCCAAGAAATATAAACCGTTAAAAATCTGACAAGTACTTAAAAAATACATTTTAAAAAAATTAAAGCCTTATACTTTTCAGAAAAAACCTTATTCTTACAATATATCCCACATTATTCTCAAAGAAAAGCCTTTTTTCCAGCCTTTCTTCATATTTTTAAAGCCACTTTGACTCATTAACTTTGAAACATAATGCAATTTAAGGCTTTAAACAACAAAAGACAAGCTTTATATTTTGGAAAGGAAATTAAATGAGAGAAAATTAGTTTCCTGCAATTAGGTAGAGTGCAAAGTAAAAGCTATATGAATGTGGAAAATTCGATTCGCTTTGCTTTAACGAAGAACTTAAAGCAGCTTTAACAGCTCAATTTGGAGTGCGGTCTCGTCAGCAAATTACTGAAATTTTATGTTGCCTACCTTTTGGGGAAGGCTCTCTAAAGAAGGCAACTTAATAAGGACATGTGTGTGTGTGGTTTTCTCGGTATATAGTATGTGTGTGAGCACACATTTGTTGAATGATTTAACCTAGACCAGCAGCTATTCATTCGTTCTTTCGGCCCACGTAAATTGTAGAACGAAGGAAAACCTTTTCAATTTCTCCACTAGCATTTCCCTTTGTACTGGAACTCTAAATTACGAAAATGTTTAAATGTATGCCCACTCGGACAGCGAGTGTGTGTGTGTGTGTGGTGTGTGTGCCTGTGTGTAAACATAATTTGTGCGGCACGTGCGTTAAATTTAATGAGGCAAGCCGCGACCCACGAATCGAGCTTCGAGTTGCGGCGCCTTTAACCTTCCGCCCTCTACTCCCGGGCCACAGATATCCTGTGGTCTCTGCTGCTCCTGTTTCTCTTCTCTTCTTCGGGCTCTGCTCTGAAAGGAAAAAAGACCAACAAAAATATACAACAAAATATACAAAAGCTGCCCTGTTGATTTTGGCCGGCCTTAACTATGCCAGAAATTATTGAAAATATATGTTTTTCTGGGCTCTTGAAGGAAATTTAAATTATGGCCCAAAAATAATTTCCTGTGGCTTAGTTTTCTGAAAAATGACCAGGAAGATTGTGCTCTATCACAGGGTTTTATATTTTTTGGTAAATATGCATGTGATTTCAGTTGGAAAAGCATTAATTTCAATTAAAAGGTCATTATTGTATGAGTTCCAACGTTTCCTGGAGGGAAATAAATATACAAAATGATTAACTACAAATTGCTTAATTATGAAATGGGAGAAATAATTCAAAAGCAAACCAAATTAATGGTAAAATGTAGTAAAGGCATACTTGAATTTATAAATTATTAATATATTCCCAGAAAATGCAATTATTATATGAGTTTATGTATTTTTTGAGTGGGAAATAAATAAGTCAAAAGGTTTAATTATTAATTGCTTAATTATGAAAATGATTCAAATAAAATTTATAAATAAATCATTAAACCATAAATATTGTTAAATAATCAACTAATAAATCGGAAACAAAACCAAATCAAGAAATCATTCAGAAAATAAATGAAATTTAAAGAAACTCAGAGCCTAGCAGTCCCTTCCATTCCCTCCCATAAATTTCTTTAGAAGGAAATAAAGACAATTAAGACTATATCTCCAGATTTTGCATGCCTTAAATCATGTTTTCTTTTAATTCCAACAGAGCTTCAATGTTTACCCAGTGCAAGGACAGAGCCTGCCTTAAAAGCCTGTTGCACATTCATTTCCGTGTAAAAGGGGACTGCAAAAAGGACTCTAAAAGGATGCCCCATTGGATGTTTAGTACACCGACTAACGGGCAATAAATTCCCGGTCAAGCACTAATTAAGAAATTTAAATAGCGGCCACTACACGAGAGGCCGCTCCCTAAACAAACGCTGACCCTTGCCGACTCGTCCTGACTCGGGGGGGGGTTAAAAGCATAAAAGCCCCCCGAGTATTTAAGCACATTTACACAATGCATGTCCTGGCTGTTGTTGTGCATTCATAGCCCCCCCTTTTACACTCACCATCTTCTAAATTTGGGGCACACAAGTGCCTGCGGTTGCGGAGTGTGAAATATTTTGCTGCCTCACACTTAATGGTGATAGTGTGGCGTCTGTGTGTGCCATATCTTGTCTGAGGTCTGGATCTCGCACACACGTTCCCTAAATAAACAAGCTTGGTTGGGTATTTTGCCAGCAAGCTTCCAAGTTGAATTTCCAGCGAATTTTCCCAGGCAATATGCGGATGCCATTTCAATTCATTTCCCTGCGCATTGTGTGTTGTGGCATTTGATTTAATGGCTTGAGTGTGAGGGACAAGAGATCCTTTTTAATCAACAACAAACATGGCTGGCAAACACTTTATCCGGAAACTAAGAGTTAAGTGCTTTGACCAAGAACTGACTCCTGGCACTGGTCTAGGCCAGAATTTCTTGGAATTCCCATTTTCAGCTCAAATAGTTGATGGAAAATTAAACACAACACGTGTCCCAGCACTTGCAACACTTTCAATTAATTTCCAGAGATTATCCTGTAAACGAAGAGAATTTCTGGGAATTTACTTAACTCAAACAGTGTGAATCAGTCGAAGGAAAAATATATATCAAATTTCAATCAGCACTTTTAAACCAAAGCCAAAGTATTTTAAAACTCTAACTTTTCACATATATATTTCAAGAACTCAATACATATTTAATGATAGTTATTAACTAGTTTTAGACTTTTTAACTAACACCCACTGTAAGACATTGTCTTGGAAAACTCAATTATGGCCGATTTCCTTTTGTCACTCATCTTTATTCAATACAATTGGCTTTGTCTTGGGCGTAAACGCTTTATTGATTTTCACCAGGTTGCAGGGAGGATTGGAGTTGCCTTAAGAAGGGCTTACAAATACCGTTAACTGGATTTCTAGGACCTTGGTCGTAGGAGCTTAGCTTAGGGTGCGTGGACAGCAGCGGGCTGTTGAGGAGGAGCCACTCCGCCGGTCAAAGCGCCCAAAGATTGCTGCAGGGAGCGCAGGATGCCAATGGGAATCTGTTAAATAAAAATATAATTTTTTTATTTAAATTCAATGTTAATATTTGTAACTGCTTATCTTTCGTTAAACAATTAATTTTAAACTTAAGTTTAAACTCACATCCAAAGCCAATCCCACGGGTCCCTGGGCCTGAGGTGCTATAAAGCGGTTGTTCAAAGCCTGAGGCTGAGGTCGCTGCACAGACTTGTACTTATGGGTCTGTACCACCTTGGCCGCGCTCTTCACTGGCACCTGTGTGCATAAAGATATATATTCATAAGTTAGGGCTAAATTTTTAACAAGAAAATTGCTTTCAAAGGCCAGCGAACACCACATGCACAAAAAGGAAGAAATTTTCAAGTTGGGTTTGGGTTTCGGGGTTCAGGTTGAGGAAATTAAAATTGTATTAAAATAAATTTCACTGAAATAATAAAGCCAGAACGCAATAGTAGCAGCCAAACCAACGGCAGCTGACCCAACCAACCCCTCTGTCCACATTGTCCGCAAATGTTTTCAAATAAAATTACAGCCCAAAATGTTATTTCGCCTCAAAGCGAAAGTTTTGTATCCAAAGAGCTCCACCAAAAAGCCAACAATTTGTGTACGGTGGTGTGAGGTGAATGTGTGTATGTGTGTGTGCCAGTATCTGTGTGTGGATTGTAATTGCACTGAGGATACAATTTTGGGTTAGAGAAATATAGTGAGACACTTGTAACAATTTAAAAATTCTTTAAAATAGGTTCACCCGTTTTTTAAAACCTTTTTTTTTATGAATAAATAAAATTTATATATATCTTCATTTAAAAACAAGAATAAACAATTTTTTTAAAGCTTGAAATTATTGGTAGGACATATTTCAGATATTCTTTATCTCTACAAAATAATAAATCCAAATAGACCTTAAAAATCATAATCAAATTCAATCAAGAGTCTTAAATAAAATTCACAAAGCGTAGTTGCAGGCTTTTCTTGTGCATTTCCCTTGATTTCCCCAAAATTCAGCGTGCTTTAAAGCCTTAATCTACATGTGTGCAATCTTAAAGCCAAGATATTCAAGCTTAAATTGCTTTTCTTCTCGTGTATCTGTGAGGTTGTGTATCTGCATCTGCATGGTGTATTTGTATCTGTTGCCGCACCGCATTCCCTGTTGTTGCTACGGTTACCTCAACGGGCGACTGTTGCTCGTCCTGATGCCCCTCCTCTTGTGGAATTTGCTCCTCCTCCTGCTGCTGCTGCTGCTGCTGCTGCATCACGTATACGGTCCGTTGCCTCACTGGACGGGGGCGTATGTGCTTGACGCGTAGGCGTGGCCGCTTGACAATTATCAAAGAGGCGGGCTGGTGTTTATCCACCGCAACAGCAGTGGCATCCGCATCGGCGGCTGCTTTAACATCATTTTCAATGATTTGGCTGTGGTCCGGCTAAAACATGAATGGCGGCATGGTGGGAGAGGCCGATAGATTGATTGCTTGCCAGCTTGTTATAGAGCCACATTGATCAATATTCAATGTTTGCAGTTAAATACTATTGGAGGATTTATAGCCTACCCGCCTGATGTTTTGTTTCCCAGAAATTGAGCTATTGAAAAGCCATATTACGGGCTTAAGTTGAACCTTAATTTTACTGTGAAAAAGAGCAACTTTAACCACCACTTAGGCTATAATTAAAAGTTTGCCCATGGAAAATATTTTCCTTGTAAAGTTTAAATGCTTTTGAAGCTGTCAGTTTCCGAGAATTTTGTAATCTATCGATTATATTGTTGACGGAATGTTTATTGTCTCAAGGTTATGACAAGAGTTGAAATTACTTTTCTGGGAAAATCTTGATTGGAAAATCCTTTGAGGGCATAGCAGGAAATGTCCTGGTTACTATAGTTCGTTAATGACAAGTTTTACTTTTACTTAGTGATTTTAGGGTATTTTAAGAAGTTGTAATTTTGTGCTTATTATTCCTTAAATTTTAACCCTTTTTAGGCTGAGTTCTTACCTAATTTTTCCCTGAAAACGTTCTCTTATTTTTACCATTTTAAATAGTTTTTAAACTTACATTTTGACTGATCAGTGAGTACTTCTTGGGCGGCTTCACCTTCTGTATGTGATTGCTGCCAGTTGGTTGAGGAGTCATCGGTGCCAGAGTGGGCAAAGAAGGATAGCCAGGATTGACAGGATCGTTAGGATAACCCGGCTGGACACTATGCTGCTTGGAGGAAATCACCGCCTTGCCTGGACTATGGGCTTCCGCGCCAATATAACCATTTTCGCCGACACTGCCACCCAAAAGGGCACTGGCGCCCACCGAGGGATTAGCCTGGGCGGCGGCATAGCCCACCCCAGAGGTGCGTCCTGCGGGCATAACAGGGAAAAGTGTGTTAAATCGAATCAATTATGCTAACCAGACTCCGAGACTCACCATCCAGATTGCCACCCAGACCGGCGGCGGCCCGGGCACCCCATGGAGTTCCGGCGGAGGCGCTGAGTCCACCGTGGGCTGAGTTGCCTGTGAGCAGGCCGCCCAGTCCAGCATCCGCATGGTATCCGGCAAAGTTCACGCCCACCTTGCCGTCGCGCAGGGTAATCAGCTAAGGGGGGAGAGAGAGCGGTAGGATGTGAGAATTTTAGCACAAAGTTCGGCGGCGCACGTTGCGTATACTTAATGCTATTCAAAGTTCGCATTTTGCCCTAGCAAAACTTTTCGGCCCAAAAGATGTTTGGTCCGCTTTTCAGCAATATAGTTGTAAAGTTACGGCACAACTTTGGCCAAAACCCAGAAAAACAGGCAAACACCCTTTGTGCCCCGGTTTAAGTAAGTTTATAAATATTCCTTGGCCCAAAGCATTGTGTTAATCAATTTAAGCGGAATTTCTCAACGCCTCAAATCGCCGGTGAAGGTCGCTGAAGTTCCGCTTTGGAAATGTTTTGTTTTTGTTAAATATTTGCACAGTACGTTTTGTCAGTTTATGGCATAGAGAATAATAATTAAAATGTCTAGAACTAAGATAAGCTGCTAGTAGACCAAGTTCGATCCGTAGATAAAACAAATTCCGGAGAGTGGTAACAGAGAGGGAGAGAGAGAGAGTCAGCGTGGGAGGGTTTTTTTTTGGTAGATTGTGGAAACTCGGTTAATGGGAGTGAAGAGAACGTTCCACATATAGTAAGTTATCAATAATTATGACACCTTTAACAGCTAGCACAACAAACCCAAAGCAAACAGAACGATATGGAGTAGTTCTTTATGGATTTTAGTGACCTAAAAATACTCTTTTCTGGCTTTGAGATGTTAAGATGTTTTTTATAAACGGAAATTATCATTTTTAAAGTGTGTTTTAGTCTAATTTATAAACTGTCTCAGTTAACTTAGTTTTTATATAAATTTTAAATTTTATTTTAAATTTAATATTATATGAATAATCACCCATAAAGTAAGGGTATCATCATAGTGACAATAATGCTGATGTCTCTAACAAAAACAAGAGAGAGAACGAGAGGCCATTCTGCCACCTGTCTGGCTGATAAGAGTCTTGCCAGGCCAAAACTACGACAATATTTAACTTGGCCTCCTGACGGCGACTCATTTGGGTTTCACACGCCGACAGCAAGAGGAGGAGGAAGAGGTGGAGTACTTGGTAGCCAGAATCCCAATCCAGAGACAAGGAGACGGAGACACAGACTTTGAAGAAGACGACGAATGGAGACACATGTTGTCATGTTGACAAGTGCAAGGGAGTGGGCGTCGATGTTGGCGCTGTGCCTGCTACTGCCCGGGCTGAGGGTGGGAGACGGTGCCTCGGTCACCTGGGGACATGTCGGCAAATATGCCAGCCCGTTGCTCACCGAGGATGTTTACCTAACGCCCTCGGCCCCCGGCCGGGATCTCGTCTACGGCTCGCAGGTGAGATTTACATCGAGAGCATACGATGCCTGCAAATTGCTTAATCTCCTTGGGAATCTCCGGCAGAATGCCAGCGATAACTACCGGATTACGGGTATTCATGTCGAGGATCTGGGCGGTGGAGCCGAGGCCCATCTTACAGCCGGTGGCATTGGCCAGAAGTTTGTGGTCTTGCGTTGCCAGAGGAACCAGACGGGGAGCATTGAGGGCCCAGCTCATCTGGAAGTGGCCATCTATGGCCTGGACCTAATCTAATAAGTGCTACATGGTGTGTGTTTGTGCTGTGTTTTTTTTTCTGTTTTACGAGAGTAAGCAGCACTCTTATGGACTCGAAGTTGTAAATAACAATTAGTGTAGAAAATCTAGGAAAAGATAAGAACGTTGAGAGAGGTGCACTGGGAAGAATAGGCTATAATTCTACATTTTAAAATATTAAATTAATAATTTTATTTTAGTTTAGATTCTAAATTGAAGGTAAAATAATGTTACTAGGGAAAAATATTTTGAAACATAGTAAAACTATATTTTTTAGGCTTTATTTATTATTATTTGATGTAAGTATTTTAATATAAAATGGCTTGTTACTAATTAAACTTAAAAAACCCAAAAATTACACAATTTTACTTTTAAAATTTTAAATCAGAGTTCTATACTTTCTTATTTTTAATGTATTAATATAACTCTGATTTACAATTTCCACTTACAAAGCTTTTAAAAACTGATCTGGTTTATTTCCCCTTGGAGAATATGCCTGACTAATTATTTATTAATATAAACAAGATTTTCCAGTTTAAAAAGTAAACAAAATAGACCCTGTAATAACTGCCAACAACCTCATGGCCTAAAGTAATGAATGAGATCACTTATTAACCAAGATAAAAGCGAAAATAATTAAAAATTACAATTAAAAGCGGAAAAAATTATTCAATGAAAAACTTGAACATTGCAAAGCTTCTATTTGTAATTTAAAGACCCTCTTACAATAATTAAAAATTTATGTTTTTCGTAAGACACCTTTGTAATCATTAAAAAACCTGTACTTTACTATCTGAAAATTGTTGCTCTTTCGACTGTAAACTTTGTCACTGACCTTGGAACTGAAAAGTTTGATAATACTAATTTCAAATGAAAAGTTGCAAAATGTCATAAAGTTTTAATGTCTTATTAAGACTGACACTGAGGTTGACTACATTTTAATTGAAATAATATGGAAATGAGAAGCGAAACTTTGTAAGCCAAATAAAACATTATTAAACAATATATTTCATTTCTTTCAAGTACATTTTCCTTTTCAATGATCATTTTTAATTATTTTTTATATATATTTATAATTTTTCATGTTAATGCAACAATAAAACGAACCATGTTAACTATTTACCAACTTTAAAACAATTTACTAAAAAATAGAATTACATATCAAAATGTTTCCTCCCCATAAACAATGAATAAAACCCCCACTTAGCTCGATTTAATTTATATCTTGTTCTGCTGAAAAGCAAACAAAAAGTTTTACCACTGGTTTTATGAACAAAGCCAGGCAAATTAATGAAATAATTTTATTAAAATAAAATACTGCACAATTTATTTTGGCCAAACAAAGAATAAAACTTTTGTTTGCCTGGCCAAAAACCCATTGTTCAATATTTACCGAGAATAATTTAAATGTTTTCACCTGTCCCAGGGAGTGAGAGTAAATTTATACAATTGCCATATTTGCACAGCAACCACAACTCCCTCCCAGATAAGGATCCCCGATATATCCAGAGAGTTGACAACCAAACTGCCACAATTGTGTTTGGCTAATTTAGGGTAATGGCCAGCGGCAGATTAAAGATTGCCAGGAGTTGGCTGAAATTCATAAGCTGGGGTCATGACCCGAGCCAAAAATATTACAACTTGAAGAAAGATCTAAAAGGGATTTCTGCGATTTCTTGGATCTCAACTTCATTCAGATATGGCATGAATAGCATGGCAATTTGCATGAATTCCAGGGAATTGCTACCGCAAATTGTAACCCCTGGGTCAGAGGGAAACCCTTCTCAGGACTCTTTACTTGCCCGCCACCTAATTTCAATTCCCACGACCCCAAAGAAAAAAATTATTTTGGGCAAATGCAAATTTCATGCATGCCTTGATTAAAATCTAATTTCTTATAGCCCCCGAAGCCGCAAACAGAAATAAACTTTCCCTAAATAAAAGCAAGACAATGGAAAAAGGTGCTAAAGGGTGTACAAAAAAGTGTTTTGCGAGAGAGCAGAGTGTGTGAAAATTCCATTGGTCAAAGGGGTTAGCCTAGCTTAAAGCCGTCTTAAAGGGCTTAAGAGACATTGAGTGACTTAGAATGTGTTTATAAATAAATCTCACTCAACTTAAGAAACCATAAGAACTAAAGCCCTTCGTAACTTTATATTCAAAGGAATGTTTTGTAATATTTTTAGGTGAGTTAAGGCTTTGTTTAGAATTGTTTTTGGTTGGTTTATAGTTGGATTATGAAGAGCAAATGTGTTGAAATTTAAAAATATTTTTATTTGTCTTCAAGCGAGCAGATAAATGTTGTTTAATTATATTAATAATTCAATTTGTGTTAAGGAAAGAAAGACTAATTTAACTTGAAAAAGAAAGCAGAATTGTTGGCAAATAAAGGAAATTTTTGTTTGTTTTTCAGTCCTTAATAAGTTTACAAAATGTTGAGGTATTATTTAACTACAGCTCAGAAAATATAAATCTTAAATAACAGTAGTATTTCCCCTCTGAGTACCTAGTTTCTCCTAACTTTACCTTCTGTGCAACACTGCGTATGAGTAATAAGCGTTAAAAAAATGCAATTAAATTGATATTAGTTAGTCGAGGCAGGCAAAGTTCAAGGCAGCCACTAAAACCAGCAGCAGCAGCAGCAGTTATTAAAATGATGTATAATAGTTGAAGCCCAAGATTAATGATAAGCAAGTGAGCCAAGCCAAGCCAACTCACGGAGGTAATTGCTATCCAGGCCCAGGCAGAGGCAGGTAAGAAAATCAAGCAAGCCTTGGCCTGTAATTACAGCTCCGTTACCGGACGTGGTGGACATTGTGCAACGGTCATGAGAGACCTGGCCAAAAAGTTCACCCTGCACTTTGGGCGGGCCAACAAAATTCGCATCGAATTTTGCACTTTCACCTTTCGACATTAATTTTGTGGCCACAAGCCGCAAAATAAAATCATCGCGAGTCACTGGTTTTGAAATCTGTGCTGCAGCATTGATTGCTGTCGATTTTCTAATGCAGATTTTCATTGCTTAAAAAGTTGAATTTATTTCAGAAATTTTTAATGGTCAGATTTTAGGGATTTTAGGAATGTTTTTTGAAGGTATCTAAGATATTTAGGGTATTTATTAATAGAACAAGAAAGGATGCTAACTTCGGCACGCCGAAGTTTCTATACCCTTGCAGATATTATTTCATTACATTTTACCTACGTATACTTATTATGTTTACAGTTTGACAGTTACAGTTTTGCATTCCCAGCTTTATATTTTATCTACATCTACCGATCGTTTATATGGCAGCTATATGATATAGTTGTCCGATTTTTATGAAATTCGTACCAAAATTCTGAAATAATAAAATAAGACTATATCTCAGAGTAGATGAAAATACGTTGAAAAACAACGAAGTTATAATTTTTTTTCTATTAATTTCCTGATCGTTCCTATGGCAGCTATATGATATAGTCGTCTGATTTTCATAAAATTTTTACCAAAATTCAGAAATAATACAAAATGGTCATATGTAAAAAATAGTGCACATATGTTGAAAAACAGCTAAGTTATAATTTTTTTCTAAAAATTTATTGAACATTTGAATGGCAGCTATATGATATAGTCGTCCGATCCGGCCCGTTCCGACATATATAGCAGTGAGAGCATATAGAAGACTATATGCAAAGTTTCATTCAGATAGCTTTAAAACTGAGGGACTAGTTTGCGTAGAAACAGACAGACGGACAGATGGACAGACGCACAGACGGACAGACGGACAGACGGACATGGCTAGATCGACTCGGCTGTTGATGCTGATCAAGAATATATATACTTTATAGGGTCGGAAACGTCTCCTTCACTGCGTTGCAAACTTCTGACTGAAATTATAATACCCTGCAAGGGTATAAAAAGAGGATTTTCCAAGGAATTTACTATAAATTAAATGAAGTTTTATAAAATAAAAACTCTTTTGGCAAAGTTTTCCCTATAGTTCGACCATCTTTAAAGAGTCCAAAGTCTAATTTTTATTTATTATACATTTTCCATACCTCAATTTACCCTTTAAAGACAAAACTCAAACTCAAACAATTATTTCTCCCTGTTGACAACAGGAAATGCAATTCATTGATTGATCTATTAATCAAAGTTAATGAATTCAGTGTCAATTAGGGTTGAGACATTCAAGTGTCTGTGGGAAATATGAGTCAGCTGTGGCTGGAACTTTTAAGGCTGTGGCTGGAACTTTTAAGGCTCTCGAAAAGAGGCGGAACCCCGGGACTCGTTTGCCACATAAACGTGGCAGTGGCAGTGGTAATGCAAAAATAAATAGCAAGTTGACTGCGTTGTAATTAAAATATTTTCGAACCGCACTGACTGACTGACTGGTTTTTGGTACAAAAGCTCGTCCTGGCCCAACACTTGGGTCGGTAGAGTGTGCCCAGTGGCAGGTGTCAGTCGACTGGATGCTTTTAATTAATTTTTCGGAACTGGATTTCGGAGGAGGAGGGAAAATGGAATGGGACTCACCTGGGCGGGGATCAGGCTGGCCGTCTGCAGCAGGCAGAGCACTCCCAGAAAGACGAACATTGTTTTGCGGCTAGAAAACAAGAAAATCCAAAGACGGAATCAATTCCAGGGCTCCTTTTGTATGCACAACACGTTTCTCCCCGCGAATTCTTCCTCGCACTTGGTCTAGGGGAGCGGCCCAGCATAATTTCACATGCGAATCCAAGTTTTTCTGATTAATTAACGAGGCTCTATACCTTTGTTGTAGATCTTCTGCTGCCTGACTTGGCTTTTTATTAATTTATTTTAATTCAATTTTTTGTTGTTTAGAGGGAACTGCCGGCGGTTCGTTGTTGTCGCGTCGCGATTTCGCTTTGCACTGAGTGGTCGAGTGGCCGAGCGGCTGCTTTGAGCCGGGCTTAAACTTGAATTCTGCTGAAGGGGATAGCAGCCGTCTTCTGTCTACTGTACACAGTCTTCTGGCCGAGTCTTCTGGCTGAGTCTTCTCTCTGTCTGGTGGATGAGGCCTTCTGTCTGCGACTTGTAATGCCTCGCAAACTGGAAATGTGTCGCAATTAAATAAGCAGGCGTCTATTTATATAGGAGCCCGTCTTCCTCTTTACTTTTCTTTATTATACATATTTTATTATCTTCCCAGCTGCTGCTGTGCTTCTGGGTGCAGCGATGATGATGCAAGAATTTCTGAGTTATGTATACTGTATTTTTTTCGGCGACCTATTAGCACTTTGCCAGTCTGAGCCGGCACCTGTCCTAACAACTGGGTGAGAATTTGGAAAGATTTCAGGCCATCTACGATATGTGTCTGCCGAATGACAAAGCTATTTTTTGAGTCAGTAGCCAGTGTTCTGCTTTTTGTGATTTATTCAGGGGGAAAAAATTAAGTTTTAACTTGATTTATTGTATTAATTAGGTAATTAATGGGTTAATATATTTATTTAGGCCTTAAAATGGTTTAAGAAATCAGTTTAAAATAAAAATGTTTTGTTTCTAAGATTATATTAACAAGATAAAGCAGTAATATGATAAGTTATATGTTATATTTCTTGAAAAATTAAGAAATACATAAAAATATTTACTTATTTATATATTTTTAGGTCCCTGACAAGTATAAATAAAATCCAATATTTATCTAATATTTTTTGAAAATAATTTTTATTCAATTTAAACAATATTTCCTTTTAAATATTTTCCAAGTAATCTACCCAGAGTTTGTGTAATAGAAACTACAGTAAACAAACCATTAACCCTGAGCTTTAATCAAATATATATACATATATATTAATCTTAGATCCGCCGAAGCTTACACGAATTACAGACAGAATCGTAAAAAACAATAGCACGTTATTCCATGACATTACTCATACGCCCCATTAAACTGCAGCCGTTTTGGCTAGTACTGAAAAAACCGGTTTATGGCCAATATGCAACGTTTTTTTGGGAGTTTCTCACTACCCCTGTGTTGTGTTGGCTTTTGCCCACTTTAAAGCCTTTGGCAATTCGGACGTCTGCGGTTGCCATCGGCTGCATTTGGTCATAAACAGTTTCGGTTTTCGGTTTTGCTTTTTGTTTCACGCTTTAACGAAGCTGCAGAAAAAAAATTTCGATTGCCAATTGCAGTTGGACAAATTAATAAGCCGCGATTTTCTGTGGTTTTATTTCTCGCTAAAGTTTCCATTGAATCTATTTCGCTTCTGGGGTTTCTTGAACCCCCTAACCCAGCTCTCTCTCTTGCTCTATCCAACTTGCTCATTAGGTATTCAAATGACAAACAAAGCCGCCTGTGCTAAGGCTGCCTTCTGTTTTCTGGCTCCCAGTTTCTGGCCAAAATTCGCAGAGCACCGCACGTGCTAGATATTTTGGAATGGCCGAAAAAATCAAATGCCACCAAAAAGGGTCCAAGAAGAAGATATATAATTAAATTCAATTCATTGGCGATTCGTTTCGCATGGTTTGGGGTCCCTTTCTATCACGCATGATTACCAACAGCACAAAAAAAGGGACACTATATCGTTGATAAAAATCAGTCCTTTTCATCATCCTTCCTTCCTTCGTATTCGTTTTCCCCCCATTAATTACGTTGTGTTTTTTCCTGCGCATTGGAAATGAAAATCTCATTAAAATTAATTAATTTTCTTTAGCCACGTCTATTTGTATTACACAAATCAATGACATGAGTGGAACAATGTTTGCAGTATTTTGATTGCCAGGAAGTGCCATTGTGCTATTGATAAGCATTTTTTTTCAACGTAGATTAATCTACTGGGAAGTGTTTTTTGTGCATGCGTTTATTGACTCGTCAATGGCTCATAATATTTACTCTGTGCCGAAAAAAAATATATATATTATTTAATTGACGAATTAATCCAATGTTTTTTTGTTTTTGCTTTAACCCCAGATGCATATTTTGTGGGAAAAGCTTTAAAATATGCTAGCATTTTAACCAGAAATATGTGCATAAACCGAGGCAGAGCTCGTATTCAGTGGCATACTTTGAGGCTGCCAGTTTTTATGATTCGTGTAAAATCCGTTTATGATTTGCAATCGAAAGGAATTCAACGAAAATTGTATTTTGATTTAAATTATAATTACTATTTTACTGCTCAGATGTGGAATTTTTTGGAATTTTTCTCGTAATAAAAGGTAAATAAAGGTCTGAAAAAATATGAAATATTTATTTTTGTTTTTTTAATTGGTTGCCAATTACATTTAAATATTTATCAAGCAACAACACATAGAATTTATATATAATATTATATTGTTTATATTAAATATTGAAATAGAGCCATGGCAAATCTGTAACTTAAAGTTTTGCCTCTCGAATTGGTTCCAACATTTTTTAAAATATTTTTTTTAATTGTCACCGTTCTAAATTATATTTATGCTTTTTTTCTATCTATTAAATATATAAATAAACCCCGTAAAAATTTTTAATAATTAGTTTTTGTTCTTAAAATAGGTTCAAAATTATATTAAAAATATTAGTTAACTCACCTTGCAATTATATAACTTCAATATAAATTTATATAATATTTTAAGACTCAAAGTAAGTTCTTCATTTAATTTTCCATTTCCAAATTTCATATTCCATTTTCATATTTCTGATACATTTATTTTATTAAACTTAATTTTTTTGGGTTGTTTTTGTGTTTTGTTGTTTGTTTATGCTTGGACATAAATATCCTTAGGCTAGCCTTACAACAAGGTCACATATATCACAAAGGTACAAAAAGAAATGCATTAAATGCACAGGAAAAAATCAAACACACAGTTAAGACATACACTGACTGGAATTACAATACATTCACACGCACAATTACAAGCTAAAAGTTGGGGTTTTTCCTAAATTTACGCCATCTCCTCGCGCATTTGATGGCGCTCAGCGTCCGGATGGCCATGAGGCAGGAGGTTGGGCGGAGGACTGGGCCTGCCCGAGGGCAGGGCAGTGCCGGCCGCCACCGATTTCTGTAACAGTTCCGTCGTGGCACCGGCACCGGCACCCGCCTGACGATAGCTGCCGGTTAGTCGACCCACCAGATTGTTGACAGCGCGCAGTGTCGAAATCGGAATCTGCGGGAGGGAAAAATTCGGTTGAGCGACTTTGGCCGGCGGAGAGTGTGGCAATTGAATCGCTGAAAACTCACCTCGAAAATGCTGTCGATCAGTGGTCGCAGACTGAACATGGGATATGTGTTTTCTGCTGTGTGAGCAGGCTGCGGGGGCCCATCGCCCAGGGATAGGATGGCCCCATTGCTGCCGGGAACCGATGTAGCTCCAGCTGCAGCCGCTCCCGCTGCCTGGGCGGCCTGTGCCGCCAGACTACTCAGCAGCAAGGCAGCATTCTGCTGCAGGCTATTCACAGAGACTGCGGAGGCGGGACGCTGCTGGTACTGGCCATACTCCTGGCTGGGGTATAGAACCATATTTTGAACTGGCATGGGTTGCAGGAGGGTCTGTAAAGCGTTTAGGGTAGGGTTTAGTAGGCGTTAAAAATTGCAGCTTTTGTTACTTACATCATTTAGTAGCACCAGCTCTTGCCGCTGGCCTCGGGCATAGCCAGAAACGCGGGTGAACTCGGTGACCAGGTGCGACATGACCACCAGCAGGACAAACCACACAAATCGGTCCATGGCCGTGATGATTATCTGCAAGAAACAAGGCAAAACAAAAACCATTAATGGAGATTTTCAAGAGGAAGCAGCACCATGCATACATCATTGTTGAAACTCATGCCCGCTGCACATTGATCTTGGCAATCCGCACTTGAACGGCACTTGTTTGGCGCCAGACGGTCCAAAACGGTATGATTGCAAAGTCAAGTTGCAGCAGCAGCAGCAGCAATGCATTTACGCAGCTATGAGCCAGGCTCGTTCTGGCCAATGGCTGCCATCATGGCTAAAAACGTAGGCCAAACAATCGAGTATCATGTTTGGCCACAGAATCCACCCGCCCGCTAGCCGCCGCCTGTTGCTTGGCTTGGGGATTCTGAAATGTGGATTAGACCAAGGCCAGCCAACTAGCCAAGCAACTAGTTTTTTCTTTTTCTGTACAGCTGGATGCATCGAGTTTTTCCAGCAGTGAAGTGAGTGAATTTTCCCGCCCGTCTGGCCGGCAAATTTCAAGTATTTCGAAAGCCGTCCAAGGCGAAAGGTTCAAATCCAGCGAACTTTGAGCCCGCATTTAGTAACGAAAATATGGCCAAGTATCCATCAAAGGTCTGTGTCTGTGTTTGCTATATGTCTGTCGTCTGGCTTCGTAAAACAGAAATCGAAACATAAAAAGAAAGAATTTCGCAGTAAGGAAGTTAAGACTAAGGGATACTTTGTAATAAATAAACATTTGAATACAAATAAAAGACAAAACCACAATAAATACTACTTAGGAAAACCCTAAAAACCACACTGAACTTTTAATAAAATTCCCATTAACCAACACCTAGTTTTAGTTATAAATTAAAAGCTGTCACAAACACTATATACCCACGTGTACCTGGTATAAAACATAAAACGCCAGTGCAGAGCAGGTCAAGCTAAAGCCAAAGCCAAAGCCCAGCCAAGTAAAGTTGGGAAGGGGGACGGGCAAGGGGGCTATCCAGCGGGCCATGACAAACCATGACTTTGGCCCGAAAGGGGGCCGGTCCAAAGGGGGCTAGGCAGTTAACCCTGCAATTGTCTAATTGTTACTCGAAAAGCATTTAAGCGGGCTTTTTTTCGAGACGGAGATTCTGCGGCAGCCCTGACACGAATGCAGCCGCATGTTGCCGCTTAATTAAACAAATAATTAAACAAATCTCAGCCCTGACCCTAGTTGGCCAAAAAGATTCTGCTGTTTCACTTGGCTGTACTTGAACACATTGAGCAAAACGAGCCACAAAAATTAAAATAAATTTTAACCCGAGTTTCGAGCTGCTGCTTGCTGGAGTTGAAATAAAACATCAAAATAGAGCTTCTGTTTTGCTTTCCGAATAGAAAAACAATTTGGTATTCAATTTGGTTCTGGCTAAATGGACGTTATCATAATCATGCGCATATCAATTGGTCGCCCCAATTGTTTATGATGCCCAGGCTTTATTTTATTTATTTATTTTTATTTATTCCCTAAATGCACACAAATTTATCCAGAATTATTTAAATCGAGTATCGGGTGAAAGCATTGATGCAAAATGTTAAAAATATTCTACAAATTGATTACAGTTTTTCCACACATTTATCACAACTGCCTGCACAAATTGTCCGAGCTCTTGGGTGAAAACTTGTGAATGTGTAATTAAAAATACATAAAAACTATTTCCAACAAATATAAATTACAGGGAGAGTGCTCGAGAAGGGTTCTTGGTTCTTGAATTTATAGGAAAATCCATTCAAAAATGAAATGTGTGTGTGTGTGATGCCCTTTTACTTTGTGAATTGTGCGTAAGAGAATGTGAGATTCCATTTGCATGACAAAAATCCCACAGGCACCACAAAATAAAAGGGACACCAGAGAATAATAAGAAGTTGTTTGAAACCATCTGAATATGGGATTTCTCTTTGGTTTTTCTAATGCACTGAGAGAGAGAGGGAGAGTGTTTTAAATTTAAACCAATCAAGGCAGACAAAAAATATACTAAAATGATTTACTAACTCATAAATTATTCATTTAATTGTTTAATTTCAAAGAAAAACCTACGCTAGAATATTTTCTTTATTTTTTACTGTGCAAAATCTTTTGCGAAGGCATTTGCATGTCGCAATGCAAATTGAATCTGTTTGCAGTTGGCCAAGTTAAATTACGGTCAGGCGAACTGCAGATTGTCTGTGCACAAGACTTGGCCGAAACTTGTGCGGTCCGAGCTGTTTCCGTCTGCATACAAGGCGTATGCGTGATGCTGCTACCTCCTCAGGCATATCACGCATACGCCCAGTTGCCTAGTTGGCCCGGTAATTGTTGCCATCGATTGACAGCACTTGAATATATGTATGTATAAGAGCGACTAAGTGCGTGTGTGTGTGTGGGGGCTTACCGTCTCACTGTGCCACCGACACTCTGTTTACTCGGTCGCGCAAAAATCTTTTTGTTATTCTTACTCAAAATTTGTGGCAAATATTAGTCGAGCAAACAAAAGTCTAAACGCGAGGCAAACAAACAGACAGGGCAGAGCAGAGCAGCGCAGTGCTCGCTACCATTTTGTGGGCGCATAATGCCAGGACACACATATGAAATATATATATATAGTTATATATATTCAACGAGAAGAGATTGAATTTACGAAAATAAGCAGAGTGTGTAAGCGATGTACATCAACCCGAAGCGTCCGCCCACCAACTTCTTGTTTGTCCGCAGCCAATAAACGTTAATTACTTTGCCAACAATTCAGGGCCAAGAGGGAGGGGTAGGTTGTCAAGGGGTGGTTGGCTATGGGCCTCTGAATTGGCCTCTTCTTGCGCCGCTTAAGCTTAATTATAGTTTCGGTTTGCATATTAGTGGGCGAAGGTGTAACACAATCTCATTTAACTTTGCTAATGAGGTAACCGCAGCAGCAGCAGCAGCAGTTCGCTCACCTGCTTGTCTCTAATTTCTATTTTGAGCTAAAATGTAAGTTCAAGTTTATTCTTAAATTCTTGGAATAGTTATTAGTGCCCAGGCTTACAAGGGTTAATTTCTGGTTGATGTTTGGTATAAGTACTCATAATTGAAGCATAATTGAAGTTGGTTTGAATAGAAGATGGTTCCAAAGCTCTTTAAATTTTTAAGAATTTTTAAAGACTGCAATTTAAAAATATAAAACATAAAAAAATATTTAAAATTTCTCAATTTTCTTCCACTGTATCTTATTTTTGTTGTTTTGTTTTCCTGACTTTAAATTCGCTTTCAAGACGGTTTTCCACTTCACTGCCAATGACCGCAGCCATCTCTTTCACTCTCTGTTTTTGCTTTTCGTTATTTATTTGATTTCCTGAAATTTCACTCATAATTAGCCACATTATTATTATTATTTCTTTATAATTTGCATTTGATTTTGCTTCTGTTTTCCTCGTCTTTCTTTTGGCCCCCCAGGGGGACACACTGAAAATCTGGATATTTAGATGTTTGCTTTTTACTGTTGCTTTCTTTTTGGACTGCTTTTTAAGGCCCGGCAGCTGTTTGCCAAAACGAATACTAATTTATTCAAATCACTTGGAATCCAATATTGCGGGATAAAGGCTTGCCCCGTCCGGCAAAAGGAAAATTGAGGCGAGTTTTCTCGCTCTAATTGTTTTCATTGATTATTAATTTGGATATTTAATTTTCGCAAAGGGGGCGCCTTTGTCTGGCAATTAACAGGCAGAGATGGAATTTTGTTTGACCCAACTTTCCGAGAACGCTTGTTCCTGTTTGCTCCGCTTGGTTCTCGTTTCAGTGTGTATGCTCTGCGTATTGTTGAGAGCGGTCTCGAGTGTCCGAGCAACAGTTTCGTTCGCTTTTAATGAGGCAGCACTAATTAGCAGCCAGTTTCGGAGTGCCACTCATCATCGTCAGAATCAGAACCGAAATCAGCATAAGTATCAGAGAGAATCGTAATCAGAATCAAAAGTGCCCGCGGCAACCTCCATAAATTATTCCAACCCGGCGTGTGTTAGCGTTCGGGTTCCTTTTGTGAGCTTTGCCTTATTATTATTATATTTTTTTTGGCAAAGCAGGAACTCACCTCGTTGGTGATATAGACCCCGCGCTGCGTCGTCGTCGTTGTTGTTGTGGTTCTATCAGCTGTCATTTTGGCAGTAATTTGAATGAATTTGATTTTGGAAAGAAGGAAGAAGCACCCGCCACTCGAAACCCGAACTAATTCGCGATGTGTTCTACCGGAGTGCAGCTGCGCGACTGAGAAGCGGGCGGCGCATGCGCCCCTTTTATAGCCAGCTCAGCCGTTACAAGAGGAGAGAGCAGCAGTGCATCTCCTCTCGCCTTATCACTGTGTGCGACAGCGAACACACAATCGCACCGATGCACCTGAGCGGGGAGAGAGTAAGAGAGAGTGATGGAGGAGAAAATGCAACAGCGAACACACACACTAATGGATGTAATCTTAAAGATGGGAGGGAGAGACTAGAAATGAGAGTGGGAGAGAGTCTGGTATTTCAGCGGTTGGTATTGCATATGCAACAGCGAACACACACACTAATGGATGTAATCTGGGAGAGTTTTAGAAATGCAATGAGAGTGGGAGAGTGTGAGAGAGGCTTGAATATCAGTGTGAATATCATGGAATTCTAGATAAGGTGGAACTGCCTTTTATAAACTTTTTAATTTTGGGTAATGATTCAATTTAAATTTACTGAAAGAAGATTAAGGATTAAAGTACAAAAATGTAAAATATATAAATAAAAAAGATAAACAAATACAGCTTAATAACGAAAAGCTTAAATTAAATTAAATTAAATTAAATTATTGAGAATAAAAGAGAGCACTCTCTGAGCTTTAAGACTGTTACTTTACACAGTAATCTCGTTTAAACAGATACTTAGGCCCCAGTCATTTCTTTAGTTCTCATCATTTCGCCAGCTTTCTCAGCATCTGTGGCAACTGTAAACGGGTTTCAGGAAAAGTGGACCATCTACTTTCAGTGTAATTGTCAGTCGGCCTGACACACTTCCAAGTCGCCGCACTCTCTGCGCCCACGGCATCT